GAGGTTCTTTTCGCCATGGTCAGGCTCTTACGCCGAGTCAGCTTCTCGAACTCGACAACTCAAAGATAACTTTAACATTGAGCGCACAAGCCTTTTTATGAGCCGCCTCTCTTAAGCAGGGTTCGCTTCTAACAGTATACCTTTCTCCTTTCGCTGGAAATGGTTCGGCAGGCTCGCTGATCCGATACACAACTCATCATTACAAGCGTATCTCCACTTTCGCAGACGTAATGCTAGTGTACTTCAAAGATTCATGGGAGGCATCAGACGAATGCTACTCCGAACTGGTTTCTGAGTTCCTTGGGATTCCTCCCTTGCCTTTTTAGGCTGCTTCTTTGCCTTTTTAGGCTGTCTTTTCTCCTTCGAGAGCTGCTCCTCCTGAACCGGAATTTTCGCCTTCTCCGGTACTCTTGCCTCTTTAACTGGAGGCGATGCCTTTTCAGGCTGCTTCATTCCGAATCGAGCGGGTTGGGTGACACCATTATCGCTTCCACTCGACTCATCATCCCATCTGGCCGCCTGTCGTGGTTGGCTCCTTTCGAGCTCGGCAAAAGCTTGGGCTTGACTGGCCGGGTCCAGCTCATCAGCTACTGGCTTAACCTCAAGGCGCTGTGCTTTTTGGCTGCCTCCTGCGGAGAAAAACCGCCTGATCTCAGCCTTGCGCTGGCGTTTATGAGCTCGCTTACGCTCATATTTTTCGGGGTTCAACTTCCGGTCACACTCACGCCATAAAGCTCTTAGCTCTCTGCGCTGGCTGGATTTCCGCGCCTTTCGCTCATCCAACTTCTTCGCACGGACAAACCGATCCCGGTTACGAATATGTCATCTCTCTTTTTCCTTTCTATGCACTTGCGCCCATGTCGACATATCGCCCGGTAACGGGGAAGCGCATGATGAAAACGACAATTCGGAGATCTCCTCCCACCGTTCGTGGGGATCGTTAGGATTCGGTCTTTCTGGATTTCCCTCACTCAAATCCCAAGGCTCGGGAATATGCTTGAGTGCGAAGGCCATCTTTTTTGGCCAATTCGGGTCCTCTTTGGCAATCTGATCGGCCATTCCAGAAGCATACCACCTTTGGATCCGTGTCAATCTCGCGGTGGTTAATCTTTCCCTAAACCGTTCAGCGGCCATTTGCCAGCCCTTATTCAGATCGTCAATACGATCGCTATGGAACTTAGTCCACTTAGCTCGGCATGGGGGCTACCGGCTGTACGGTTCTCCAGTATCTGGAATAAATTCCAGCACTCTGCAACTCTCTCCTAGTCCCCACTCCGGTAATGCGGGTCTCTGGGGACTCCATTCTTGACCTTTCGGCCTGTCCAAACTTGGTCCGCATACAGCACGAGCGCTTTCTGTGAGCGGCTCACCACTGCTCATTTCCGGTTGACTTGGTATCCGTATGTGCACCTGTGACCTAACCCATTGCTTTGGGGTATTGGCCTTTCGGCCTCCGATTTCCCTCACTGGATCTGAGGTCTTAGCCTTTCAGCCTGTTTGCAAACCCGTCCGATCTCTCCGTTCGGCCTCACCTGGTGATGGGCTTTTTCTTTTCGCCCGCGGCTTGCCGGCTGTCTTCCAGTCGCCCTCGGCTTCTGGAATCATCGGCATCTGTTGTCCAGTCGGATTGGGGGCCCTTTTGGCCTGTTTCGCGGGCTGAGCGATTTTCTCCTCCGCCTCTCTCGCCCGCATCTTCTGCTTCAATAGTCAGTCGCTCAATGCGGCAACATGCTGTTCGGCCGATGCCTTCGCCTCCGCAGCCTGGTGACTGGCTTCCTTGGCCTTCTTCAAGGCAACTTCATGCCGCCTGGCCTCCTTCTGCGCAGAGGCCGCCGCGATCTCTAGCTTGGCGATCTGGGCGGCGGTCTCTTTGTTGCGCGTCTCCTGGGCCCGCGAAGCCGTGGCGGCCGCCATTTGCTCCAAAAGCTCCATTATGCCCGGTGCCTGAAGAAGGGCCGCCATGGTACCCGGCTCCGGTGCCTCCTCTTCTTGGGGCACTTCCGCCTCGGTCATCGGATGGTCGGGCTCCTCTGGCTCCGCTTGTCCCGATGATGCACCGGTTATGTCCTTTCGGACTTCTTCCTGCTCTTGCCCATTTCGTGCTCTAGTTCCCTCACCGGCTGAGCTTGCCGGGGTCCCCTGTCAGGGTGATTCCTCTCCCATTTCGGGGGTGCCCTGTCGGGCTGTAGGGTCCGTTTCCTCAGCCTCCATGGAGGAGGCCGGGGAAGAAGCCCCGTTGCTTCTGCTTCCACGCACTCCCAGTCGAAAGCGTGGTAACTACCCCCAAGTGGCTCCGAAACCAAATGATACGAAAAGATTGTGGGTGTGGGGCTCCTGCCCTCTTTGATCCGCGGACCCGCCTCGCCGGGCACCTAGGTCCTTACGGGGACCTAGGCGGGACCACCCCTCCTACTCCCGTATCCTAATACCTAGAGCGGTTACGATGGGTTGAGGATTAGTTATCTTGGGCAGGGCATCCCCCACACCAAGGGCCGTTAGTAAGGCGTCCCCTACATCAGGCCGCTGCACGTTACAGGTTGCCTCTTCTTTGCCTCTTGGGGTTGCTTGGCCTTCAAAGAAAGCTGCGGCTTGCCAAAACCTGGTGGGTCAGCTCCCCCTAATGTCCTCGCTGCTTGACCCAAGCTTCAGCTACGGCCGACCTTGGCGTGCGGGTCCCTTCTCCTTGAGACAATGAAAACAGCTCACTGAGCTCACATTCAGACCTTGCCTGGGTTGCTGGCGATGTTTGACCTTCACCATCCGGGCTATCCATTCCCTTCTGACCACTCAAAACACCCTCTTGCAGTTGTTTCAACACCGCGTCGAGCTTGTCTTCAACGCGCCGCAAGCTCTGCACGTTCTGTTCCACCTTTTGCATGAGCTCCTCCATCTCCACCGTCCCTATTGTCCTCTCCATCTGCGCAGTTTGGCCCCTCATTCCCGTCTCTCCGGCCAGCATCCAATCAGCCTCAGGAGTGCTCTCAATCCGGTCGCCTTGTTAGGCCATTGCCACGGGACAGGATCGCAGGGTCGAGCGATTCCTTGGGAACTCACAGCTGCCGGCCGTGTTCACTCGGGAAGGTCGCACGTGCAGGGGGGCAGCAGGGCACAGACAGCTGACCGCCCGCTAGATGTAATGGCTCATTTTCCATATCAATGGAAAGCGTTTGATGATTACATCATATACTGCTCCGTCTTGACCAAAGTTACATCTTACTGGCTCGGCTTATCGGCATGTTGACAATATAGGCGGACTATTGATGATGCCATGACAAGCCCAGTCAGTCTAAAGGCAAATAACATGTTCCCTTTGCATCAATTTCTTTCTTTCCTTAATTGTCCTTTTCCCGGGTCCCGGGAAAGTCCCGGACTTTAACATAAGAAATTATGGAATTGCACTAAATTCAAAATAAGGTCGGGTGATGCACAGAATGGCACTGATCACCGACAAACAACTCGTGACTTGTTCCAAAACCTCCCTAAAGCAACCAATCTTCAAGAAAGTGCTGAGAATATATCTATTCACAGTCTTTGTTGCTGCTCCCATTGCTTATCACGGCTTCTTGCATTCCATTTTGACTCCCTACGACCGTTAAAGTTCGGACATTTTATTTGTCTTAAAACATCTTGAATGTATATGGTGCTATTAAGTAATGTTGGTGACTCAGCCTAGCATCAAAATAAGGATCGATGCTAACAGGGGGCAGAGGAGTTGTCTGAGCTTAGCGTGCATTTGAGGCTAAGCGCAGAAAATTCAATAATGTGTTCCATAACAATTACCACTTATGTCAATTGCCAACAACTTCCAACCAATTCTTCAATAACTTTAATTAACAATTCAATTAACAACTAATTTCAGTGACCAGTGACAAATGCCATCAATCACTCCATTTTATACAGGACGTGTCCAGTACGTCCCGACTGCAAAGCCCCGTCTGCAGATCCCGGGGGACAGGCCCAGATTGACTTCCCGTATTTGTCCAAGGCCCGCAATTTTATTCCCATTGTGAACTTCCCTGTGTTTCTGTTGTCACTAGGATATTCAGATGCCAATCTATCAAGAATGTGGTGCCCTGTGATGGCCATAGGGAGAGAAACAAGGCAGGCACATAGCTAGAGCGCTTTGAACTGTGGCGCCAAAGATTGCATAATCGTTGAGTTAGTTCCATGCGGCTCTTTTCTCGGCCACCACAAATAAGCCGACAGAATGCCTCACTGGGGCATAATGTCGATTTGTTTCTGCTGGTCAAGAATAGTTTTCTCTCATTTTATGTTTCCTCTCATTTTATGTTTTCTCTCATTTTATATCCCTCCATCGAATCCTCAGAGTCCGTGATGGTCACGGCTTGTACTTGCAAACGTGGCGCCACTTTGGCGCAGGCTCAAGAAACGTGCTCTGTGCTCCATTTGGGACCAAGCTGCCAGTAAATATTGCCGTTCATCCCCCACTGCGTGCCCGAGCACGATTCGCCAACCTTGATCAAAGTAATTTCAGCCTGAACCAACACTGGTGCAGTCCAGAACGCATTTCGTCCACTGCACGCTCGGTGGTAAGTGGCCGACGGCTACTGTGCAGCAGGAAACGTTGCGCACATGCCTGGCGCAGGACAACATCGCAGATTCTGCACTCCTGAAATATCCACGATGTCGTTGGCCTGTCTGTGCATCGAAGAAGGCCTCCTGTTGAAACGCCCACAAGAATCACATCTCCACGCCAAAAGCTCCCACATGTGAGACTACCCTGCATGATGCCATTCAGGCAGCTCGCTGCAATCCAGGAGATAAGCCCATACCATAGCCAACAAATCAAACACGCCAACCAAGGGTGTTTCAATTCGGGCGCCGCGTGCCCAGACCCCGGTTCAGGCCCTGCTAGCCGCTCTCCTCCAGTTTTGGTGGGGAATGGGCCAGGGCGTAGAGGAGTGCCGCGGCGCGCCTGAGATGTGCGCCGGGATAAATAAATGAATTCGGTGTGTCACACTCTCCACAGATGTCAGGCGCTAGGAACTGGACGGGCCAACATTGTGCTTGGATGCCTGGATGTCCCGCAGCTTCTCCACAAGCTTCTTTTCCTCGTTGCTCAGCTTGCTGGGGATCTTGACACGCACATGGACCTACACATGCGCACACAAAGGACACACAGGCCCCATCACGAAAGGTCAAGAATTGCGGAAACAATGACACTGCAGTGTATCACCGGAGGTCAAAAAATGCGGACATAGTGACACCAGAGTGTGCCGGCACCAAGCTGGCTGCCTGGGTTTGCAGCGAACGGGACCCAAAACAAGCGAGTCGAGCAAACAACTCACGGAACGCGTACCTGTGCTTGTCAACAACTCATGACTTGCCCAACAGTAGCCAGAACAGCGATTTTACCGGGTAAATAATTGTAGAGATGAGGATTCAGCTCATGTCGTGGGGGTTTGTGGTTGAGTGTTGGTGTGTTTGTGGTCAGAGGTTTATGGCTGCGTACAACCTCAAGTTAACAAAAAATTAGTAAAATCATGACTAATAAGTCCAAAATTATTAGGACTGGGACAAGTTAGAGGCACAAAAGTGAGGCGAACACATCTGTGCACACAGGGAGGCCTAACCAGGGCGCCCGCCATGGTGTGGTGGAAGGGCAGCGAAGAATGTGCAAACTGTGGGTATTTCCAGGAAAATGCTTATCGAGCTCACACAAGTCTGCTCATCCTGAGGGCGCCTTGGATTCACACAGCTCCAGAACCACAGCGGACATGCCAAGCATTGGCATGATCGAGGTGCTGATAGAGTTCTGTAGCCTTTCGCACATACAGGGGCACTAGGCTTGCCTGACAGCATGAAAACACCAGGCTCTCGCTGCAGCTCACTGAAACACCATGTGTCAGCAGCACATGTCCACAGCAACGGCAAAGGACGAAATGGGGCATTCCATTGCGTGTTGAATGCCCCCACAGGGCTGTGTGCGCCACTACGATCTTGTGACATTGTGCACATGCTGGCTTTATCTCTATGGCCGTAATCGTCTGAAGAGTCCTAGGGCTTTCACGGCCATAGCTTTGGGCAAATGTAATCCACTCCACTTGTGCATTGCCATTGGCATACGATCAGAGGCCACTTTGGCATGCCCCATTGGCCGCCACGATTCAATAGGCCACTGCCGAACTATGTGCCCTCTGGACGCATTACCAATCATTCTGCCCCACGACACGGTTGGGGCTGCCATCTACGGTGGCAAGGCCAACCCCTGCGCCCATTTTGTTGGCACCCGCCAGGGCACAGCTGTGTATGAACCGCTCGCCACAAAAAGGGGACGGCCGCCTGCCAAACGTGCATGTCAGAGAAAAGTTGCATATCCTGGGATATGGAATAGAATATAGGGGTTCCTATGTTCTTGATGTCGAAAATGATGAGCGCAATGTATGTGGGATATATCCTGGGACATGGCAAGGATATGGGCGAGGATATGGCCATATCCTTGATACGTATATCGAGGGTATGCAACGTTTTCCGACAGAGCCAAGCACAGAGTCAGCACCTGCAACTGGTGGAATCAAAGGTCCGCTTGCACAGTGACCACAATCCATAACACAGTGCTGATTCTCGATGAATACGATAATAAGCACAAACAAATCATCGCGACGATTTGTCTGGGTTTCTCATCCTGCAGGGCCAACTTGGATGTTCCAAGCTTCTGAACCTGGGCATTTTCAACCACATGCCAGCCAATGCAGCTAAAGATTTATGGGCCCTATCCCCTTTTCTGAAATAGACCTGCTACTTGATAGTATTGCGCACCCCCATCCCCCGCCCCCTTTGCTTTCAGCATGCGCACCTTGTGGTCGCCTCTGCTTGTTGAGGACCCAAGCACTGGCACCCCCCTCTTGGCCATCAGCAGGGTTGTGTCGGGTTGAGTGCCCTGGGGCACTTTCAGGTCTACCATGCCATCCACAGTTGGCACTTTGACTGTGGTGCCCAGGATGGCGTCCACAAAGCTCACCTGGAAGTTGGGCATGCTGGTCAGGGCCCATACAAGCAGGGTATTATGCATGATGCAAATCAACTTGCGCCGCTTGTCCCCTTGTGCTTCGGGTGTAGTTCGCAATCGAAAAAATAGAGTAAATTGCGCACTGATGGAGCAATGTTCGATTGAGCAATCAGAAGGGGAGTAATGCAACTCAGCGATTTGTGGCACCTTTTTGGCTCGACAACATTCAAGGTGTACTGCAGCCTCTCTGCAGCTTTCGAGGTGTGTTGTGGCCTCTCATCTGCACCTGTACAGCCAACTGTTGCACCTTCACTGGATTCCATGAGCCTGTTGTTCTGAACCTCAAAAAATTCAACATGACTAGAACAGTGCGCAGCCCACCTCCACATCGGTGTGCACAGTGGTGCCCTTCCGTCTCATCTGCGGATGGGATTTCACCGACACAAAGACGTAAAGGTCGCCGGGGGGACCACCGCGGCGGCCAGCATTGCCCTCGCCCCGAATCCGCAGCCTGGAGCCATCGTCGATGCCTAGCAGCAGGGTACTTGGCGTTAGACAGCAGCAAGGCAATACACACAGGTGCACAGTGCAATATCTGCACACTTGCACGTTCAGATTACTTCTGGTGTTTCATGCACATACAATTAGGGTAGTCAACATCCAGTTTGCCCCAAACAAATAGGCGCAGAACAGACTTCATGAAAGGTTTTGAATTTGCGAACAGAAACTTGGCTCACAGCAAGTGTTGTCCAACAGAGTTGCACTTCTGTCCCAGCAATGTAAGTCACTATATCGCAGGCTGCACAGCTCGACGCCCTGAATCCTGTAACCACATGGTAGGGCCCAACAGAAGGCCTGTGCCCACAGCGCTTGAATGTTTGAGCAGCTGGAAGAATTGCAGTCGATACACGATGCCCTCAAGCGAAAACAGCATACAGCATACATGCGACTTTCGATGGTATTTGACCTTCGATGTTTTGGACTTGCAGGTCAAAACAGTATCTGTGTATCTGTCAGACTACCATGGATACAAGCAGAGATCCCACACACTGTGTAAGTGCCATTCACTACCTTCAAGGTGCACAGACACTGTTCCGCTCTGAGAAGGTACACAAGTTTCATAGAATTTGATGAGGTGGTTTGACCAACACACGTGCCCGAGCCCAAACTTCAACTGCGCGGTCCTCCATGCCTCACCTGCGGGCACCTGCACTTCGGTTCTCTTGTTTTCGTTCACACGTCCATCACCGCCACATGTCTGGCATGGGGTGAACGTTTGTCCAGTGCCCTCGCAAGAAGGGCAGGTCGAAACTTGCTGAAAGGCACCCAGCGGCGTGCGCATGGAGGACACTACCTGCCCCGAACCGCCGCACTGGCTGCAGCTCTCAGCAGTTGTGCCTGACTTAACACCTGATCCACTGCAGGTCTGTGCACGTGCAAAATTTGGCAGGTCAGAGAAGGCCCACAGGCGACTGGTCTCTAAATGTGAATTACTACTGTGAAATCCACAGCAATAGAAGACGCTATTGTTGAACGAATCCAGACTGATGGCACACACACTTTGCTCCATTTTCCAAGAGGTTTTCTTGCCAAAATTCTTCTCAACAGGTGTTTACCACTGCATGAAAACCTTCCTTTGTGATGACAGGAGGGATATTCTGGAATGACAGCCCAACGTTGCTCATTTGCTGCACAATTACGTGGCTTGGGGGCAAAACATGCCCGACCAGCTTCAAATCCCCCTTGCTCACAGCTCCAAGGCAAAACATCCATTGTCAACACTTTCACAATCTCTGTGTAGATGGCCAGCAGAAACAGCAATTCCTGGCACCTGCCCTAGCCCATTTCAATTGCCAACGTGATGGCACTGCTTGGCACCAGTCGACAATTTGCAGCTGAAGAAAAACAATGGATAAGAAAATGAAGGCACAAAGGAAAGGAAAATGCACAGCACCTTGCATTCTGCGAGGCGGCTAATGGACACCTCCTTGCTTGTTCCAAAAACGGCTTCCAAGAATTCAAGCCTCATGTCCACCCTGGTGGAAACACCAAATGAATATTTATCCAGAGAGTAGAAGCCAGTGTAAGCAATTCCAAACTTGCCTGACATTGGTTAAGCTTGCAAGTCCACTGTGTGTCTGGCAGGTGACTGTTCTGCAATGTGGCATGACTCAAAGCTATCAGTTTGTGGCAAGGGGACTGCTGGCACAATTGATGTTGATGGATGGACACTATTGTCAGCACAAGCTTGCTGTGCATTCCATACGTACAGACAAGTGGGCACAGGCAACGATTGCAATGGTCCACTCCTAGCACATCTCAAATTGCCTGGCTGCCTTTGCGCTGCGCTGCACGGCCCAGTGCAGGACAGTCGATGCAATCGCCTGAAGACTGAATTTGCCCCTCTGACACAAGGATATCTGGCCAAGTACGTAACACTATGACAATTTATGAAAAAGGTTTCGAAAATCAACATTATTGAGCACAGGTGTATGAGTCATGGAGTAATTCCATGGATAGTATTCGTCAACAGCACTTCCCAAGGCTCAACCCTGTCACCTTGCAGTCAATGATGGGTAAGTGTTTGTTCATCTGTTGTGCATCTCGTTCTGGACACTGCACAACGGACAAGCTCAAACAGGGGGGAAGGGGCAGCAATTGTCACCCTTGTGACAAATGCATTGAAAGGGCAAGACAACATCAGGACTGGTGTTCCTCCAGCTTGCCAGCTAACAGTACAGAAAATGATCAAGATCGGTGAACAGTAGAAGAACTGATTTCCTCACATAGATGGGGAACCTGAGCGACAGATGCCATCAACCAGTGTTCAGCCTATTCCTGGCACAGACTACAGTCTTACACCACATAAGGAACCACCTATCGTGCAAAGGAAGCATGTCATAGCCCTCCTGAATAAAAGGATGGTGAGACCATGCTATGAAAGATGATGTGGATGTCTCTAAATGGAGAGCGACAACACACAGCACAATGAAGCATGCACATCAAAAGAGTAAGGAGCAGTGTGCCCATTGTGTGATCTGTCTTCCATTCTGTTTCAAAAAGGCTTCTACACTACCTCAAGTCGTCTCCAGGCTGAGCCCTGCTTCTTGTGGCTCCCATCCCACCCATTCCACCCATCCCTCCAAAGCCTCCTGTGCCGCCTCCAAAAAGTGATTCAAACAAGTCGAAAGGATTCGTGAAGTCCATTCCTGCCGATCCTGGGAAGCCGCCCATACCCCCCTTCAGCCCGGCCTCTCCATACTGATCGTATATTCGTTTCTTCTGATCATCTGACAGCACCTGCAACACAGGATGGGAAGCAGCCCTGAATCCAGAAACATATGGGCAGCTTTGATAGCGCTGCTGGATTCTTTTACATTGATGGTTGAAATAGGACAAAGCAATTCTGTAGCACACATCAGTGAATGCTAGCCACTGTTCACATTCATACATGCTGGTCCCCAAAGCCACTGCAATTTCTGACAGTGGTGGGTTTTGGTGGATCGCACATATAGCCCTTTCGTTGACAACAAGTTGGTTGCCCTTTCCCACCACACGCTGAGGGGACTGATATAGTTCAGATACTGTGCTTGAGTGGTCAGAATTGACATTGGACTCTTTGGGAACCAAGCCCGTACAACCATCAATAATTCTATTGGAGCGCCAAAAAACAAGACAACAAAGGCATTGCACCTGACAGAAGTTAACAGGCATAAACAGCAGCCAACTTGTATATTTTCTGTTCCTTCTGCAATCGCATGCTTCCATCATCTGCAGTCATTTGGCCTCCAGGTCAATAGACTACCATAGCAGGGCGTAGCAGTAAATTGATGAAAGAAGGCTCAGGAGACAGTGCTTCTTGCTGAGACCAGGAACACTCGAAGAAAGGCTTCCATGACGCACCACCAATGGCTGCTTCATGACATCTGTTGATGGTAGCCTATGTAACAAGCTGGTGAAGGGGGCACCAGGGCTATGTTCCATGCATCGGCACTAATTTACAGAGCAACTGCAGTGAATTCAAACAGCTCCACATCTGTCGCTTGCAGAACACCCAGCACCTCTACATTTGTAGCCCATGAAAGGCTAATGCAGTATTTGGATTTTTTTCTCATATTGCAGGGGTTCCAGGGGGCTGTTCAACTGTTGAGGGGCCGACATGCCTGTGGAATAAACTTTCCTTTTCAGGCAATGACAAGATGTACATGTGTATCTCATGCAGAGCTTGTCTTCGATGCATTACGGTGCAGATATTGCACCAAAAACACAATAAGGGAATTCATATGCTTCTGTTAATGTGACAACCCAGCAGGCCCATTGCTGCAATCTGTGGGGCATGGTGTTATTCACATTTGCCGTGGCCAACAAGCCCAGATTAGCATAGCCACCACATTTGATCTGCCCTTTTGGACCCCGGCCCAAGCCCACCTCATAGGCTTCACCTATCTTCTTGAAATTTTCCTCAGCTCCTGGCTCCTTGTTGACGTCCTGCAACACAGTCAGCCCCCATGTCACACAACTGCTGATTTGAGTGAGAACTTCTGCATTCCCCCCCTGCCTTGCAGATGCTCAGACTCGCATGATCTTATTGGCAAAATGCAATCAATAACGTCACGCACACTATTACCCATAGATTTCCTTTTGGTATTAACTATGATCTCAGATGTCCATCTGCTGCTTGTCCACTTTACATCGCTGTGAGGTGGCACAAGGGGTCCAATCCTAGTGCCACTGCTGGCAAATAGGGACTGCCCATCGCCTGTCCTGTCCCCATGACTGCAACAGGAGTTCTGCAACACAAATAGCTCAACAATGGACAAAGTTTGCAGTCAATGTGTGCATACACGATTGGTGCATCTTCTTTTTTGTTGTAGCTCCATGCAATCCGAATAACTACGAGCAGCAACAACCACAGCAAGGCGATTCCAAGCCCACGGTAATTTGCATTTAGATACGAGCACTTTTGGATGCTTTACAGCACCATGCACTCTGTTTTTCAGGTGGAATATCATTTGTTGGGATGGGTTGGCACGTGGACTCTTGAATCTTGATCGTAATGTAAAATTTCGCATTGGAGAAAACAGAAGCAATAACAGAGTCATTTGGGTGAACGCTCATCAGATATATATAAATAAGGAATACCTACAAACAACAGCAAATAGCAACAACACACGCGTGCACATCTCCCTGTGTGATCATCGACGATTGGAAATGGACACCAACGGTCGCCTTTGCTTGGGCCATCACAATAAATTCGCCCACGCACATATACCAAACAGCAATAACACTCACGCACAACCCAATTGGGCCCATCCTCCCCAACCGCCCCCTCCCGCCGGCAGCAACGGCCGGCGAGCGGCCCGCACCGGGTGGTATTTCCGCGCCTTCTGCCTGTACGCCGATTTGATTTCCTTCTTGCTGGCACCCCGAGGCACGCCCAGGGTATCGTAATAGTCGGCCTCCGCGCGCACCAGCAGGCCGGCGCCCCTTCCCCCCTTCGCCCGGGCCGCGTTGCCGGGCGCCAGGGGGCCCACCCCGCCGATCATCGACTCCCTCTGGCGATGCAGTCCCGGCATTCTGCACGGACAGCCATATTATGCCGAAGGCCTCAATGTTATGCTTAAAACGCGCAAAAGTGGAGACGCACGCAGCGCGCGCACATTGTCCATTTCCAGCTCCAGGCGGCCTTTTCCGCCGAAGCGGGGGTGCGGATGTTCTCGGGTTCGATGGAGGATCGCACAACAGGGAACAACAATCCCAGGCACGTTTTTCCTATTTTCAGGCATTGCGCCCGCCATTGCGCCCGCTGCAAATCGTTCCCGAGCACGAGGTGCCGTCGTCTGGGGCGTGGGACGTCGGGCGCCATTCGGCGCGCGCTGGATGCGACGCGATCGGGCCGGCGCACCTGTGGGGCCCGCCGGAGGCAGGAATGGCGGGGCTGGGGGACTGGCCCCGCCCCAAGGCGGCGGCCGCCAGCCCTCGGGGGGCCAGTGCCTCCCCGAGGGAGCCCTGCAGGCAGGGGCACAAAAGCAGAGTCGGTCCGCGGCATCGAGGCATCCGGGCGTCCGGGGCATTGCACCACGGGATGCAGAGAATCGAGCCAAGAGCTTGCGGCGATGCGTTCTCGAGCCAGTCACCATGTTCGTGTCTGGAGAGGGGGGGCGGCGGGGCCGATGGGCGGGGGACCGGCCTAGGGCCCTGCTGCAGGGAGCGGGGGGCTTGGCGGGTGACGAGCGGGGTGGTATCCCAGGTGTCAGCGGTGGGGAGCCGGTGGAGGAGGAAGCCGGGACGCTGGGCGCCAAAAAGTGCGAATATCAGGCGGCCAATGGCCAAAAAATGGCTGTTGGAAAAATATTGGCGACGGTGGCCGCGCCGGTGCACGTCGCCGCCTGGAGGCGTTTGCAAACCAATTGGTTTGATTGAACATCCTTAAAGGCAGTGTGAAAAGTCGACAAACTGGCCATGTCACGCTTCTCTGCTGAACTCAGATAGCCAAACAGCGTTCCCTAGCCAGCGGTCTACACTGACCTCAAAATGATGGAGGCGTTTGGCGATCGACTTGTTTTGCCAAGTCCTTCCAGCGACGCCATTGCCAGTTCCATGTCCGCAAATCAGGCCAGTTGCCATCCAGGTTTCATGTCACAAAGAAGGCGGACTTTCGGAATTGCGCACGCGCGACCAGTGTGTTTTGGTTTATTGTGTGCAAGTGGTCACTGGAGCTGGATGCTTTCATAGGCAAGAAATCGGTTCTGGCGGGGTCGCATCACGACTCCGCATTTCCCACCTGTGAAGCCGTTACAATGGACACCCTTGTGGCACCCTTGTTGATGCGATCTCCCTGCCCAACATGCACAATGGCTAGTGAATTGAGATTTTTCTGGTCAATGTTTATATTGTACAAATGCCCAAGAATGTCAACTTACGCTGCCCCCTAGGTGTGGGCTACAGACCAAAGAACTAAGGGAAGACACTATATCGATTTTGTTACGCTTAGCGTCAGTTTGACGCCAGGGAGGGGTTCCAGACTTTGACACTAAGAGATTGTATAATTGCAACAAAATCGACACAATGTGGAAAGATGCCTCAACAAGCTGACCACCAGCACCAAAACACCCGTGACTCGTTCCTAAACCTCCCTGAGATGTTCAGTCTTCAAGGAAGTCCTTAGAATGTGTCAATTTACAGCCATCAATGCTGCTCCCCTTGCCTATAATGGAACTTATATTTTTTTCAGCCCACCCTAATTTTACAAAACTAAGCGGTTTTCCTTCAAAAAACTGGCTGGAAATTGTGCTACACTGTTAGGTAATGCTGCTGAGTCATCCTGGCTTCGACATAAGGATTAAAGCTAGGGGTGGGGGATGGGGGTGCGCTGAGCTTAACGTCAAATTGACGCTAAGCGTAACAAAGTCGACATAGCGCCTTGCCTAAGTCGCAGCAAATTATGCCTCAATTAATCCTTGAATCCGCAGGTGCACACACAATAGGGATGGTACCCGGGCTGGCAAAACCAGGCCCGGGTACCACGAGTTTTCTGAACTCGGGTACCCGCCTGTACCCGCCTGTACCCGGGTACGTACCCGTACCCGCCTACCCGGGTACAAGGGTTGGCGGGTACCCGGGTATGCGGGTACTGGAAAAAACAGTACCCACCCCGGGTACCCGGGTTTCCTGTACCCGGGTACCATCCCTAACACACAAGGATGGCGAATTGAAGCAAAGCAAGATATGTGGTGGCCATTTGGGCACCTCCAAGGGCAGAGACTGCCCACGACTCAAGAAGAGCCTGCCAAGGCGTCCATCACAACGCAACCCTTGGCTCACTCTGGCATCATGCCAAGAGTCGATACATCGCCTGAACCACGTTCAAACACAGGATCAATGGGTCCAAAACTGCTGAGGACAGCGGCGGCCAGAAACAGACCTTGCTGTGGGTGATTCGCAGAGCGTCTGGCGCATCCCAAGCGCCCGCCAACCTCTCCCCAATTGGAAACTTCTGGATTGACGTCAATCACATAATTGTACAAGGCCGAGCCGCAGAGAAACGGTGGACGCTACGTGGTGCCACGAATAGAATCCGACGAACCCCCTCTGGTAATTGCAATCGCTCGTTGGTGACGCCCATTCGATAACTCTTTTTGGAAATGCTGATGAGGCGGTTGAGGGAGCGCTTATCCCTTGCAGATCCGAAGCTGCGACGGCCCCAGACAACCTCGGCCTCCTTTGGTAATGGATCTGCTTGGCTCGTCATGCGGATCTGGGCTTTTTTGGAAATGCCTGTGGGTACCGGATGACGGTCTTGCGCCTTCCGCTGCTGTGGATCGCAATCGCTTCTGGTCATTGATCCGACTGGCTCGTAATGCTTGCTATGTAAGCTCTGGTAACTATTGGATACGCCCGTGGCGTACTTTAGGCCAGGCCTGTCCCTTCCCGCACCGAAGCTGGGACGACCTCCGAGGATCGCCACCACCACCTCTGCCAATGCATCTTAGTAATGCCACTTCACGAACCTCGCGGAAATGCCTGGGGGCTACTTAAGGGACTGCTTTCCAGGGCAGGGCGCTCCGAGAGGTCTGCGCACTCCACGACAGGCCGCCCACCCAGCCCCTGCGCGACTCTCTTGCGCATCGCCTCCCGGCGGGAAACCCGAAGATGGCTCCCAAGGTAGGCACGCTCATCGAAAGCCTCGCCCCCTTCCCAGCACGTGCAGCACCCCCCGTTGCCTCGCTCCGTAATCCTGAATTCTGACAGTGATGGTTTGGAGCTCTGGCCGCGCCATGAGTCGGCCAAGGGCGGCCGGAAAGCGCCCCGCGTGAGTGCAGTCCCCTCTTGGGCCGCTGGGCGGTTGCATATCCCGCGTTTGCCTTGTTCCCGCGCGGTATTCCGATTCGTGACCTTCACATTGTGAACTGCGAATTGTGACATTTGACGGCCTGAGGTTCCGGCCGCTGCCCAGGTCGGTGACGAGCTGCCGGACAGTACCCTGTACGAGGGCAGCCCGGGAGGGGCGGTGAAGATCAGGGAGCTGTTCGCGGGAAAGAAGGGCGTCATTGTGGGCGTGCCGGGGGCATTCACTCCAACGTGCTCAAAGGTGAATTGACGGCCGCGCGTTGCGGCCGACCGGCGGAGCGGGATCGATTTCGGGGGCCTCGGGCTGCGGTGCGCGGTTCGGCTCTGTTGTTGACGTCGATCGGGTTGTGCGTTTGAATTGGCGTTCTTTTGGTGTCTTTCGTGCGGCTGTTGGTTAGTTTGCGACACCCAAAGGCGTCGCGCCTGTGGCCCTGGCGCGCCCCAGCTCGGGCGGACCAGAGTGGTGATTTGCATCCGCTTCTGTTAACAAGTTGAATGTGGCTGGGCGGAGTTGGGAATGACGGGGTGATCGGATGCTGGTTGTTGGCACAACCCCAAAGGTGGTTTGCTCGGCTGTGCACTCGCGACGTGTGGCGCGGGGCGCGCGACGTTTGAGAACGGTGGCTGGCAGCCACAGGTGGGGGGTTTGGGGGTGGGGGAGTGCATAGCGCCAAGGAGAGGAGGGGAGGCATTCAACGCAAACTGCGGGATCGATCTTGGGGCATCAGCAAATGGGTGTGCCAATGTATAGCCCGTCTTCACCCCTGGGACTGCATTTATCTTCGCAAGGCGAAGCAGATCCCTCGCGCCTTGTAGGGGTTGACGGATGTGTTGTACGTATCCGATGCGTTTGTTAGTCTTACAACATCATCAAGGTGCTCTTTACATGTGGTGGAACTAGTCTCAGGCCGGCATTGTGGCCGCTTTTTGTTGTTTTCCGGTTGCACGATGACCCAAAATCTGTTGTTGGTGCGTTGGAGCCGGCATATGTTGCCGTGTGCCTACGTAAGGGCATCCGTACTGTGCACTGAGTGCTCACAGAAACAGCACTTTGTGGTGTCCACTGTGGCACTGATGGTGCACGAACGCCTTATGCAAGTGTCAAGCCATAATCGTGTCCTTTCAATGATCTTTTAAATGTGTGCTGTGTAGTGTTGGGAAGCCCCGCTCACAGTTTCCTTGTTTGTAGCATAATTCCCGCAGTCCATTGGAACGAATTTCTCTCAATTGGCAAATGCCTCAGTGAGAAAAGCAACCATGTTATTACTGGCTACCCCTTACCAGGCAAGGTTGTCCAGATTTATTTCAATGCTGTGTACAATTGGCCGAATTTTACTTTCAGATGACTATGTGGCACTTTGTTGAGTATGGGTTTGTGAGAGATGGTTGCTCCTCACACAGAATGCTCTGCTGTGTGTTTCTGGCAGACACACCTTCCATCTTACATCTCCAACTTTGACAAGCTCAAGGAAGCTGGCGCAGACGTCGTGGTGACTGTGTCGGTGAATGATCCATTTGTGATGGAAGCCTGGGGAGAGAGCCTGGGAGTTGGTGATAAGGTCAGCAGGGCACGAACAATGCACAGTTTGGCAGACTTGATTCTCAGTGGAGCAGATGTGCGACTGAGATGCAGGGAATGAGCAAATATGAGCTGGACACACGTGGGCAGTTATGGTTCACTGTGTTTGCTGGTGTTGATCAGATTAGTCTTGGAGCGACTGCCAACACTCTCTTGGACGCAGACTGGGGCAACTGGTTCCAGCCACCAATGCTCATTCTTTGCATCTTATTTTCTTTCCCATATATCCTAAGCAGGGCAGGCCTTCAAGAATGTGAGCAGGACATGAAGCTCAGAGCCCCGCGTGTGTTGCAGCGGCAGAGCACCACAAAACCCTGCCTGACCTCATACTTTGCCCATCCTTTCCTGGATGCGACCAAGGCAGCGAAGTGGTCTTTGTTGGTTTGCTCCTAGATTGGTTAAGCAAACTGCGATTCATGATGTGCTTTACATGGCTTAATGTTGCAACACACTGCCTGTTAAATGCTGGGAAAACATTGCTCTTGCACCCAGGAGGCAATAACCACAATTTGGGGCAAAAACGACTGCCCCACTCCCTTTCAGGCAAACAATACAAGGGACGACTGCTAAGTACAAAGTCTTGTACCCAGCACCCTGAATTGGTCGGAATGTTTGCCAACAAAGCAACATATTTATGTAAGCGACAATATCAGACATTAGTATTTAAAGAAGCAGATCATAAGTACTGGAAATTGATAAAACAACAAATGCTACTTGTACGCTACAGGCATGTGGCAGGTAAGCCTACCCCTGTTCATATGTTCTCTTTTCAACTGCCCTGATCCACATTCCCCCTATGTGCACAAGTGGTTGTCACTGCTGTGCAGGTCCGTATGCTGGCAGACACCCGATGTGAGTTCACCAAGGCAGTGGATCTGTCATTCGATGCAACGCCATTCCTTGGCAACGAGCGCTCACAGAGGTGAGGGAATTCACAACAACGAGTCTTCAGAGCCCTCTCCGAAGAACAGCCACTTGCCTCAATGTGTTTGTGCTGCCAAGACGATCAGACAATCCAACCTCTGATTGACGCTCCGAACCAAGGTTGCCTGAGTTTGCACAATCGTAGAGGCACCGTCAGGGCTCTTCTGGGCTCAGAGTCGTGCAGACTTGCAATTGCAACATTTGCACCTGTGAAGTGTGCAGTTGATGGGATGCCGTATTATGGGTTCTTAATTATGTAACCAGCAGCAACAGCCCACTGTGTTTCTGCTCCTTGGCCTTTGCTGGCCTGGTCGCCTCTGGCCCAGAGCTTGCTGTGCTGCAGCACGCATCTCCATTGGTTGTATTGCCAAAACATGACCAGTCACATCCATTTCACCTATTGAATGATCTATATCCCTGCTCACAGCCACAGGTGTGCTTTGTGCCTCATCCCCGTCATTCTGTGGCCCATTTCAACTGCTCTTCCCTGTTGCTACAGGTACGCTATGCTGGTTGTTGACAACGTCATCAAGGCTGTGAATGTGGAAGCCAGCCCCGGTGAAGCGACCTGCAGTCTGGCAGACCCTGTTGTAGAGTTGCTGAAGGCGATGTGATCTGCCATCCATCTGTCGATTGCTGACCAGGATGCCTCTGCTGCCCTGTGCACAACCTGTCTTGGCTGAATTGAATGGGCATGTGCATGGTGGTAGCCAAGAGCCATCGAGGGCTTGCCAGTATTTGTTTCGTAGCAAAGAATGAATGAACACTGATCGTTATCAGGCAACCATCAAGGTGTGTTCGATGCCAATTGAGCTGTAAGTCCTCTGTTGGTGTTTGTCCCCATTCATGGAACGCACCCGGCCTCTTTCGCTCCAGCGGAGGAAGCTAGCCGCATGTAGTCTTGACAATGTCTTGGCGCAATTTGCGCCAAGGCTATCCTGGCGGTTTTGTTGCGAATCTAGCACTTAACCAATGCAGCCTGCGACGCATTTGCCCCTTTGCCGTCGACATTCACTTGCCCATGATTTGACGTACAAAGGGTGCATTTGACTGCAATGGTCAGCGTATTCTCAAGGGGCTAGTGAGCCCTGCGAGGCGAATCCCGGTGGTGCCGATTGACACATGTGGAACCAGACATCGGTGCTGACTGTCAAACGTCGAAAAACCCCAAGCCAACAGATTCTCTTCAGCTGAAATGCGCGCATTTCATCCCCGTCGCTTTATTGGGAGCCAGCTAGTTAGTAATTTGGGGGTTTTGCCCAACGCTCCCCAAATCGGCTACCAACAAAAACACGAAGATTTCAGCAAAATATCTGGCCATGACACCCGGGTACAGCGTGGACGGTGACATGCACATCTTTGTCATAACACCGTATGTGGGAAATCTTCCTCTGCTTCAGCAAACTTTCCAGCAGTGCCTTCTTCCCCGGGGTTCAAAAAGGACAGTATGTTAGCCCGTCTGTCTTTCCGGAGAATATCCCATCTTCTTCCGCTGACAAGGGCAACGCCGGTCAGTGGGTCAGTGGCTTCGGGTTCAGGGTGTCCGAAGAAAAAATTTTCAAGATTTTTTTTTTCAAGATTTTTTATAGAGATTCCTTTTCCACGAAAGACAGGGCGAGGAATTTCATGCCGTCGAAAAGCACCCAACCCTCCATCCAAACCGGCCCGCCACCGCGGCCCTCCCCAGCCTTCCGCCTGCCCCACGCCACGTTACACCATCCCCCCACGCCGCTTCCGCGAGTCCCCGACCAACCAGCTCCGCCCCCGGCTGCTGACGCTGGAAAGCGCGGACCCGGTGGAAAATTTTGACCGGCTGGCACCTCCAAAAGCACCCGCCGCCTCGTCCGCCCTGCCCTCCCGCACGCCAATCTCCGCCCCGCCATGGCGTCGCCCGCAGCCAAGATGCGGGCGCACCGCGTGCCAGCGCCCCCCAGGCGGCCGGCCTCCGCGCCGAGCTGCAGCGGCCGGCCATCCCGCCAGCCGTGCGTCCAGGCCAGGGCGGCGGCCGTGAACGGGGCTGGAGATCCGAAGAAGAGGGTCGTTGTGACGGGCATGGGGGTCGTGTCCTGCCACGGCAACGACGTGGACAAGTACTACGATGCGCTCCTGGAGGGCCGCAGCGGCATCGCGGAGATCACACGGTTTGACGCGAGCGAGTTTCCTGTGAGGTTTGCGGGGCAGATCAAGGACTTCGACGCGGAGGAGCTCATCAGCAAGAAGGATCTGCGGAGGTACGACGACTGCTGGAAGTACTCGACGGTGGCGGGCAAGAAGGCGCTGCGGGACGCGGGGCTGGATTCCGGTGACGAGGATGGGGACTTCCACAGGCTGGACAAGGGGAAAGTCGGGGTGCTGATAGGCTCCGGCATGGGCGGCCTGTCGGTGTTCGAGAGCGCCGTGACGACGCTCAACACGCGCGGCCTCCGCCGCATGTCGCCCTTCTTCATCCCCTTCGCGATCACCAACATGGGCGGCGCGCTGCTGGCGATCGACCAGGGCTTCATGGGGCCCAACTACTCGATCTCCACCGCATGCGCGACGGCCAACTATGCCTTTGTGGCAGCGGCGAACCACATCAGGCGCGGCGACGCGGACGTGATGGTGTGCGGCGGCACGGAGGCGCCGGTGACCCAGGTCAGCCTGGGGGGGTTCATCGCATGCCGGGCGCTGTCCTCGCGGAACGAAGAGCCGGAAAAGGCATCCAGGCCGTGGGACGCGGGCAGGGATGGATTCGTGATGGGCGAGGGCGCAGGCGTGCTCGTGCTGGAGAGCCTGGAGCACGCGCAGGCGCGGGGGGCGAAGATCATCTGCGAGTACCTGGGCGGGGCCACCAACTGCGATGCGCACCACATGACGGACCCCCGGCCGGACGGGTCCGGCGTGTCCACCTGCGTCCAGGCGGCGATCGACGATGGGGGCGTGGACCTGGAGAGGGTGAATTACATCAACGCGCATGCCACCAGCACGGTGGTGGGTGACGTGGCGGAGGTGGCGGCCCTGAAGAAGGTGTTCCCCCACTACGACTCGATGAGCATGAACGCCACCAAGTCGATGATCGGGCACTGCCTGGGCGCGGCGGCGGGCGTGGAGGCGGTAGCCACGATCAAGGCGATCACCACGGGCTGGCTGCACCCCACGCTGAACCAGGACGAGCTGGTGGACGAGGTGGGGGCGATCGACACGGTGCCGGGGCAGAAGAAGCAGTTGGAGGTCACGGCGGCCATTTCGAACTCCTTTGGCTTCGGAGGGCACAACTCAGCCGTGATCTTCGCGCCGTTCAGGGAGTGAGGCGCCGGCGGGTCCGGGAGCCATTCTTTGTTTCTGGTGATGTGTTGGCTACGGCTGCCTGGCCTGCATGCGTCCGCAGACCTGCGGCAGGGGGCCAGGGGGGCCGGGGGCCATGGATCACGCAGTTTTGGGATCCAAAGGGTTCATTATTGTTGCCTGGCTCGTTAGGCAAGGGAACCAGCTGGCTCAGGCCTCCTAACCTTCTTGGATCAGATGCTGGGTGCACACCACAGGCAAGAGGGTCTGGGCCAGATTCCCTATTGCCAGCAGCCTGGCTATGACTCGTTGTGAATAGATTCATGGAATGACTTGATGAGAGAGTGAGAGATGGGAGCAGAGGGGTTGGCCCGAGACAGACACATACTGGAACCGCAAGGCCTACCTGGTGTCTGATGCTTGTGTGATTGGGACGTGTCCCTGCAGCACACAAGCTCAGGTGAATGCCCTCCATGCACAATGGAACCGGGGCAGGGCGAAATCAATCACAGGGCGTAGTAGGAAATGAAACTGGGGTCAACAAGCACGTTGACTGTACAATGGACTGCTGACTGTTGGATGTGAGTGGATTCATTTCTGCTTGGAGACGCCGGGCGCAGGTGTGGTTATCCCTTGTCGCTTTGTGGTGCCTCATTGCATTGGTTTCCCCAAATGGGTTGCCTTGCTGGCCTCGTTGCTGCTGTTTCCAGGTATTGTTCAGCTTCCAGTAATTGTACAGCATACTTGCTTGATGTCAAGGTGTGTCGAATGATGCCAAAATAACAGCAAATCGGATGCCCAAGTTGCCCAGCGGCAGTGACCGGAGTCCCCGCATCCTGGATATCTGGAGGCCCCACTGAGCACTGGCACAACACCCAGGTTGATTTGGGCTTGCTGGAGTAATGGCTGACTGTTGTAGCAAGGTGCTGACAAAACACCTTTGCTTGCGCACCATTTAAGATTCCCTTGGCACTTGCCCAGACAAGACTTGAGGTAGCTGAATCTGATGTGATCTCCGTAGCTGTGGCGCTTCTGGCCTCCCAGGTCAAGACCAGCTGAGTACCTTGGCCTGCTGTGTACGACCACGATGCCATGCCGATGCTGGCACACGCCAACCAGACATAGGCCGCCAGCAAAGGGGGATGAATGCGGGATTGCCATTGGCAGCAGCAACCTGCCTATTGTCACAGGTAGATTGTTGGATTGTAGGTGTTGGGGGCTGGCGAAAGTTTTGGGCGGGGAAATGCCCATGCACTGCATCGTGCTGCAGATGCACGGATGGGCCAAATATGAGATCTGCAACGTACCAGTTGCACACAGAGTGCAAGGAGCATGAGCCCGGTTCCGTTCAGTACGGATCACTAACAGACGGATGGCTGAAGGGAGCTGCATTAACGAGTCAGGGAAAGATGGAGACCCTGGCTGCATCGAGCAGGCACAACTTACACACACATATTTCACGCTGCACGTGCACAATAACCAAGACACAGTTTCTGGATGCATGGCTAGTAGTTTGGCTAGGAAAGGAACACGACTGACTCCCATTTGCATTGGGGACTCCACGCCCCTCTGACAGCTCACCGGGTTGCTGGAATTACATATGGGCAGACCCTCACCAATGCCAAGCGTGCAAGTAACGAGGTCACTTCCCCACTCGCGTTTGTCGGCTGGCAATTACCGTGCAAGCGGTACTGTTTACTTTCACATCAAAAAAATGCTTCAAGCAAAGCCGATTCGGGGTGGCTGTGACAAAATACAATGGAGCGGCTTCTGGATGTGCCACCACAGGCAGGCAATTTGGTTCTCCGCGAGGCGAACATCGAGGCCCTGAACGATTTCAAAAGAACGTGAACTGTCACTTGTTTGCAAGCGACAACACGCGGGACAGAAATCTGAAGTTGCGAAGCGATCGACGGTCGCCTTGGAACGGGCATGGGCTGCGTTTAGTCCGCTGGACAGGTTCAAGCAGAAATAAAACCAAGCATCTACTGCCCTTCTATGCCCTCACAGAGCCGCTGGTCTTGCTCGGGTGCCAAAGCCAGGTTGGTGCTATTACTGGCAGGGGCTGATTAAGGGAAGGCGCTATGTCGAAAGTGGTACGCTTAGCGTCAATTTGATGGGTCGTGACTTCTTTCCCCCTCCCCCCCCAAGCGTTCAAACTTGAATGAACACCCCAGAATACCCAAAATAGACAACCATTGGGACTGCCCCAATCACCTGAAATGGCATATATCATCCCGTTTTCAGCGCGTTACAATCCTACAATTTCAGCTGTTTAGAAACACCTTCAAATTGTCTAGCTTTGTTGAGTGAGGTTGCTGAGTCATCCTGACATCGACATAAGGATTGACGCTAAGGAGGGGGGAAGGGTCTGGGCTTAACTTCAAATTGACGTTAAGCATTCCAAAATCGACATAGCGCCTTCCCTAATGTGTGGCCCTGCATGGAAGATACAGGTCGGTGTCGTGGCAGGGGTGTTCAGAAGAGCATCAATTCCAGTGATGCTCTTCTGGCCAATGTGCTATTGGAGGATGCCAGTGATATGCAGGGATCCGTTCGGGACGTTGTGTTGCTGGCTATGCTGTATGATGGTGCACATGGTGTTGCCCGACGCTTCCCTTGCATATGATAAACACACAGGTGATGTGGTGTTCCTGCATTCCCATGCCGCCATGCACGCAGTGGCCAAAGGCCATATTTGGATGAGTCTCCAGTGACCAGCAGAAAGGCTGGCCATCAGTTTTGAACATGTGACAGACTTCATAGACGGTTATGAAGTGGCCTACAACTTGCAGATGACAAGTATTTCCAGGTAATTGGGCTTTGAAAGGCTTCAGCCTGGGTGCCTTTGCCTCCGTTCAAGCGCTCACGAGCTCAGAAGCCATGAAATGCATGACAAGCAGCTTGCTAGCTTGCACATTTCTTCACTCTGCCATTTTTTCCGCGTTGCACATACAAGTTATGTGCATAACCATGATCGTGGATGACCCACCCAGCACTGGCCAGATCTGCTGCGCCCATCTACACCTCCACATGACAACAGCTTCGTTTGTCATGCCTTTCCTGGCAACTTGCAATCCACTGAACCAAGGTATGATAGATCACATCGTGATACACTTCATGTGCCTGCAATTAGTTGTCCTCTATGACTTTAACGCCCTATTTCTCCATCATAGAAGCTTCAATTTTTAATAAAACTCCTTCCAAAGCTGTTCCGATGAGTTTGGAGTGCATGGTTAAAAACTCACGTCACTCCGTTACGTATTGAGGATCTAACAATGCTTTGTAGCAAGTCTCTTTTACCTAGCAAACCTCGAATTCTCGGGCCGAAAATGATCAAGATCTACCTTTCGCCCAAGGCTCAAAGGTGTCTTGTCTCACTTCTTTGAAATTGGTAGCCAAGGGTTTTGGGACCCGATCTGTCCGATTTTGAAATCCTTTTCTGATTTTGAGGCCGTTCTTGCAATGAAATTTGTCTCTCAAATACAGGACAAGTAATTCCGGACGGAGCAAGGATACGCACATGCAGATGCAAATGCCTGAGATAATGGCACAGATGTGCGCAGTGGCATGCGTGACTACCAGGTAGTGCATGAGCCCAACATGTCACCTTGCAAGCTGCCATGCACACCAGTTCCCAGCTCTCTTATTTCATGGCGCATTGTCGAAACAACGCGCGACTTGATGACAGTAATACATTTTGTGTTGCAACAGAGGCGCACTCCCAACGCTACAGCGGCTCTTCAACTGTGGCAGGCGTCAAGTCCCCTTCATCCAAGAGGTCCTTCATGTAGCTCATTGTCTCCTCCGCAGCCTCCTCGTCGGATCCCGCATTGGGGATGATGCCACTGAGCAATTCATCCAGCTCGTAACCCAGGGCTTTCTTGCCTTTGTCCTTGGCTTCGCCCAATGCGACCTCCTGTTCATCATACTCTTCGTCGTCTTCTTCAACATCACTCTCCTCCTCGTCGTCGTGTGTCTCCCCTCTGAGCGCCTCTAGCACGCCATTCCCCCATCCAGCCCCCCTCCCTTCGAGCTCCGTTGGCGAAAACTCGAGATTTTCTTCCACGAAGTTGTAGAAATCCACCTGCACGTCACAAAGACAGGGCAATCAAATGTAGAGCATCAACTGAATGCAACAATGGGCAAAGCAATCGTGGGAATGAACGAGCACTGCAACAAACGGAAGAAGAATAAGAAACACAGAATCGAGGACGAGGACAATGTCATGAATGAACTTCCAAAGCCGATGCAACAGGCACTTAGATTACTATGCTGAAAAGATAAAGGTCCTCCACATGCTGCAAAAGTACAGACATACCAGTCAATAAAGATGCCATCAACTGTGCACCAAGAAAAAACGCCCTGGCTCCTGTAACACTGATATCACCTCACATGCGATTCGGAATTCTGTTGTGGAGCACTGGGCTAGTGAAACATTGCATGAAAGGGTGTTGCTGCCACACGTCTTGTTGTGCAGACAGCCTTGGTCTGAAAGAAGCCCCCAATTCAAACAAAACACTGGCGAACAGAGGGACGCCTGCTGGACACTGTGTACTTCAAAATGCAATGCCTGACCGTCAGCTTCCACTCAGATGGAATTGCAGCCACTCATTCTGTCACAGTCAGCTGTTGCAGGTTGGTAAAATGGAGTGCCGGAGACAACGGGCACCTTGAGAACTCAAACTTTTCAAGAGTGAAACACTGCCCGTGCGGAAGTGAATAGCCTGAAAATTGTGCTTTATCACCAGCTTCGGTAGTTCCATGAAGCGCGAGCAAGATGGCAGCACTGAATGGGAAACATTGAGAAGCAAGACAGTCAAGATGCCAAAAGAAACGTCTGGGCTCGTGTCCAAGTCACACATCGGCAAAAATGGCAGCCATTGTAAAAATGCAGCTGTCTAGTGGCTATTTAGATTTTCAACGCATTTTGCTGTTCTTGAAATGCTTCTGGCAGTAGTACAAAGCGGTTTGCATCTGGTGGACGAACAACTGTCGTTCCACCAATCTCGGCACACTGTGCAGGGTGAAGACAAGCGATCACTGGCCCGATCGCTTCAAATAGCCACAGGATAAACCAGTAGGTTGAGCTCCAGGCTGCCGTAACTTTTGCAGCACGTTCATTTCCATCACATCCCCTTGTCTGCGATGCACTTGTGGTCACCTGGTCCAGGATCTCTGAATACTTGCTGGCCAGCACGTCCACCTCTTTCTGCTCCTCATTCAGCTTTTCAAACTCCTCCTCCAGGGCGAACATGCCCCTCACGAAGGGCGGCACAGGGCAGGGCGTCACACCCTCATAATACTCCTGCTTCTCTATCTTGGCCAGTATGCTGCTGTACCAGTGCACCATGGCGTAGATGTTGCGCGCCCGCTCCCTCTGGCTGTGGTGCAGCTCCATGGCCTTGTTCCACACCTGTTGCATCTCCCACTCTTGCCGCGCCTCAAACCCGCCCTCCACCATGTTCACCAGGCTCTCAGCCTGCTTGGGGGCGAACAAAGTTAATTTCAAAAAACCGATTTTAACCAATGCATCGCAAAATCTAACAACAAAGATTGGGGAAAACACATTTTGTGGCTCCGACGGGCGACCCACTCCCATTGCAAGGTGCCTGGCCGTGATCTCCCACGGCATTGACAAAGGCAACAATGAGGCATGCAACAAGGCCACGGCCAGTACTTTGGAGCCTGCAGTAGCAGCATACAGCCACTATGCCTGAACACTTCTGTTGCTGTGGACATCGCCCGAAATCACAAGACAACCGCAAGGGCAGTGCTCTGCCCTTGTGCCTTTTTGGCAAATGCACCGAGAAGCATAATCCATCCAGAATCACCAACAACAACAACCATCCGCATTCCTTTGGATTCGAACAATTTTGGGGGCTTTGCATCGCCTTGCCTCTCCTGCAGGTGGCACAAAGCCCGAATATCTTGTGATGAAGCTGGGGAGGCACCTGGACACTGAAATGTGATGTAACATTCTGGCATGACCTGCACTTAAGAAACAACGCCGCGAAAGGGACACGGCAGCTGCAAGCTGAGATGCCAGAATTTGCTTCGATGGACTCATAGATGGCAGAGCTGCAATCTGAGAGACTGTCCAGGCTGAGAGGCTGTTCAGCAACAACAAGGATAGATGGGACTCCAGCACAGGGAGTAAGGCAAAGACCATCTACGCGCCTGCTCGAAGCTCAGCTCGCTCCCCTCCTCTCCCCCCCCCTCCCCTCCCCCCTCCTCCTCGCCGCCGCCCAGCCACCGCCCGTACTCCTCCCCCCCCGGCCGCTCCTCCGGGTACCCGTCCCCATCAATGAAAAGCGTCGACGTCGGGCAGCCGTACTTCTCCAGCAGCGCCTTCATCTCCTTCTGCGACGGCGGCAGCGAGCCTCCGCCGTCCAGCGGGTCACCGCCGATGCCGCCGATCTGTTTGAAGTCCTCGCGATCGTAGCCGTAGGGCACGCCGCCCTTGCCGGCCTCCGGATCGAATGCCCATCCTGGGGGGACGGAGGATGTTCGTGCGGGGCGGCAGTTTGCGGCCCGCCTGATTTGGGGCGGGTTGTGCGGATTGCGGCACAGGCGGAGGTCGGGCAGGAGACAGACGCGGTGGTGGGGCAGGGCGCAGACAGGGGGCCCCTGGGACGGCGACCTGGCCGCGAGCTGGGCGTGCAGGTCTGCCATTCCCGCGCCAAAGCGAGGTGTGGCCACCTGCTGCGGCCTTAAGTACGTGAGTTCCGTGACTGAGGGGTACCTGGCCACAAGAACATGTTAGTTATGTGTCTTCCGTGAGGACCCCTTCTTCCGCTGACAAGGCCAACGCCTGTCAGTGGGTCAGTGGCTTCGGGTTTTTAGGGTGTCCAAAACAAGAAGGGTCCTCCACGGAAAAGACAGAGCGATTACGTTCATGCTGTTCGCCACTGGGGAAGCGGTTCCGATGAAGCCGGTCTGGGAAAGAGCTGGCGGCCACAGAGTCACAGTCAGATCATTCACAGCGACGCCCCTTTATGATCAGGCCATCCATTCAGTCCGCGTGTCATGACTAAGCCATATTAGTACTGTTCGGGTCGCCAATAATGGAACTCATCAGAAAAATTGGTTTCTTAATGATACTGCTCAGCTGGCGACCCGTGAGGTCCAGGAGTGGGGAAAGAGAGTGTCGACAGCCTCAGCATCTTCGTTAATCTGATCATCATTCAACAGGCTGGTGCACAATGAGACAGAAAGGCCCCAAAACTATCAATCAGGGGTGCATACATTCAGCAGAATAGTGTTGTTAAGATTGATCTAAATTTGGATGTGAATGCCTCAATCGGCTGCAAGTCAATTCTGTAACATGATTGCGTCATCCCTATTTCATTGAGATGTTTTCAAGGTGTTTGCTTAAGGAAGTGCGTCAATAGGCATTGTTTTGGCCACGATTTGGCTGGCCTGTGTAATTTCGGAACGTGACTGCCCTTTATGATAGAGAGGGGCCGCCCCCGTCACAGTCTGCCATGGAGCACGATGAGGCAGAAGCAGGGGGGGTGCGCGAATCCACCGAAAACCCACTCCTTTCCCCTGTGCACTTGGGGTCTGGGCCGGATAAATCCACCCCAGAAGTTGTCTGCAGAATATTGAAGATAACAGAAGTGCATTCAGCCATTTTCCTTACAGGAATGGTCTGATTTGGGATCTCCCCCTTGTTTCGGCCTGGCCGCCTCCTCCTGATACCCCACCACTGCAGACCAGCCGTGGAAAGGCCAACAATGTTCGAAAGCTATTGTGCAATTATGCTGCACTGCAAGCTGCAACAGACTGCCAAGATCTGTATTCGCAATTCTCAAGCTTCGATTGCCAATCAGCTGGACCATCCAGTTCTCAGTACTTGTGAAGCCAAAATTGCACAGCTGTACACTGTCATCTTCAACAGCTGGTTGCCAGGATTTTGACTCTATGTCAAGCAAACACAGGGCAGTTAATCATGGTGAGATAGGTTCAAACATTTCGAAATGCCGGCACAAAGGATTGCAGTTCGGCTGCAATCAAGAAGGGCTAATTTTTACATAACCATCTGGTTCATGCCAGAAACATGCTCCCATAGTGCAGTGCAAGATGCTGTCAACAACGTCCATTCCTGCCTGTTGCCACACAAGATAGAAAACACAAATCCAAGTGAAGATCTGGGCTCTGTTAATGAACTGCTTGGCAGATACGGCTCAGTCTGCCATCCTTGACGTTGCAGTTCAAGCACTTCTGTGGCCACCTACGTTTGTCCAGTGGACGCTGTTGCTACACAAAGTGCAACAGCCACTGCCTGTGTTCTGCTCATATGGCATTTGGCTCTGTCAGTTGGCTGCTGAACGTCAAGTGCCTGAGCTATATGTCAGACTTTGGCAAACAGCTGAGAGAAGGTGCCGTTTGCCAGCTTTATCAGCTCGTTGTGTACTTGCATATCTGCGACACCACAGGCAAGCATTTCATCAAGTGAAACAGCAATGCACACTACGCTCAACAGTTTTGACAATTAATCGCCCAGTACACGATCAAGATAGTGAAGAACACTAACAGAGGGACAGAATCTCACCAATGACAATGGAAGCAATTGTGTATAACCTATTTGAACAGGATCTACAAAATTTCAGGACCTCTTTACTGTGCCTTGCAGTCTGCTCAGCAGTGTCCTGCTTCCCCACTCCCTGGACGACTTGGGGCAGGATGGGGAGTGGTGCAGATGATGTTTTCATCAGAAAGTGAACTTGCCACAGCATGGGCTTCCACTTCCTGGTCAACTATTGTTGCTGGACATTTTGCCACACCCTGGAAGATGACAATGAAGTTTTGGGGTGCAACAGCAAAACCATGCAATGTACAACAGTTTGAGAAGACAGAAGACATCTGAAGATTTGTTACCACACAAAGGACACATGCAGCACAGAGGGCAACCCCTTACTGAAAGAGAACATTTGCAAGAACACATTCCACGCCATTGACTACTACCCATGGCCAGGGGACTGTCAATGTGACAATCTGTGCTCCAAGCAAGGATAGATTATAATGTTGCAGATGACTTGGCAAAGCACTTTTCCTGTGCACATCAGGTGACGTTGGGGGCGTTCGTCACAGCAGCAAAAATGTGCCAACGTAAGTTGATTCAGCTTTGATGACACCACTGTGTCAACCGTTGCTCTGGCTGTAGCCCAACAGCATACTAATCCCATCCATAAACTCCACAACAGATGCCCACAACACATTTGAGCACTTTTGCAGACGTTTTGGCACCAAGATGCCATCGCCCACCCTTCAAAAGACCCTCCACCCTTCAAACTCCCAGACACGCCGCCCTTGGCCCCTTTCCAAATACCTCCCCACACAAATGCATGCTCCCCACACCCCACCCACCCACCTCTGCGAGGCCACCACTGCCACAAAGCGCCAAAACCAAAGATGATCCTTCCAATCACAGAGAAAAAACGCCACACAGAGCAATCCCCCCATCCCAAGCAGCCCTTGGCATGACTCCTTTCCACCCAGCTGCAAACCCTGCTTGCCTTGAGCCAGCCTGCAAAGCTTCCGCAGAAGGCTCCCAGTGCGGCGGCCAGCCCCCACCCCACCCACAAACCCATTTCGTGCTTGCATTGTGTGCCCTCTTCTTGCACCATCGACTCTACATCAGCATTCTACAGCATGAAAAAGAGTCTCACACGCACTTGCTTAGGAAGGGGTGCCCCCTTCGTATGGCCTATTTCTCGTTTCTTTTGTATTATCAACTAGTTTCCTTTAAGCTAATCATCTGTCAAGCAGTCTCCTTTACACTATTCCTAATCATCTACACCACACCACACCACACCCCACACCACCCACATCGCGCCGATCAGCACACTCCGTGATCGCGCTCCCGAAAATGTTCCCTGAAACGCCCAAGACCCCCAACTACCCAAACAGCGACACGGCGACCACTTCCACTGCCCCGCCTCCGCCCTTTGGGCGCAATCGACCCCAGAGGGAAAACACCACAGTCTGACAACAGCACGCCAAAAAGCGTCTCTCACACACTTGCCTAGGAGGGGGCTGCCCTTCGCACGGTCCTTTTACCTGTAACACATCTTTCTCCCTTTCTCTTCGCAGCAAACCTTTCTTTCGCTGTCCAGCAAATCTCATCACAATCTGCCACCACTGTCCGGCACACGTCGTGGTTTGAATCCCTTGTAACCACATTTGTCAGAAGACAAAGCAAAGCCCTTGCGCCACAAACTGGCGACGCCGGGCGATGATCCCACGCACGTGCTTTATTTCGAAAACTACAGCGTTTGCTCACCAACACAGTTGTGGTGGGCCCCGCAGGGTTGTGGGCGCCAGAGGTTCCTGCTCACCGAACTTCTCTCCCCAGTTGTCGTGCTCGACCTCCTGCAGGTGCCCCGGCCCCTTGACGACGCCGACTACCTCCGCGAAGGCTGTCGTGTACGGCCGCGTCGGGTTCACGTCCACCACGACCCGGCCCCCGTCGCACGCCGCCAGCGTCAGGCGCCCGTTCTCGATGGCGTCCACCCTGCCGGCCAGGCGCACCTTCCGGCCCACGTGCCTGGCCAGCAGCTCGGCGTTCACCCTGGGGATGGGCTGGTCGATCTCCATCCGGCCGGAGGACGGTGCTGCGGGGGGGTGCCGGGGGTGTGTTTGGTGCTGCCGGATTTGGCGGGAAACTCCAGGGGGCGGGGGCTGATGAGCAAAAGGTTGCTGTTGTCGAGTCGGTCGCGTGAGGACACGCCAGCTATTCACCATCCCGATGTTTCAGGAAGGTCTGCTGAAGTTGCCCATTATAGCTGAATAAATTGCTGTGCCAAATAAGTTTTCGATTGCCATCATTCTCTGCGCAATGGGGCCGTTTCAGCAGGTCCTAAACTTGGCCAGGCAGTCACATAGCAGTTGGGCCATTGCAGCCGCGACATTGCAGTTCTTGGTTGTCGAATGCGTTTGCAACGGCCTGGGGTCTGGCTCTCGTTCCGCAAGGGCCAATCTTGGGCCCTCTTTTGGTTTGCAACTTGTTTGCTCGCCACGCGAACCGTGAATCCTTGGCACTCAGCTGGCGCGTTGGCCCGAAATCCCACACCAACTCAAAAGTGTTTGCAACTGTACAGTTGCACATGTGCGAAGTGGAATACATGTATGACTTTGTTGGCGGTCAACTGCATGTGGTTCGCCTACCTCTGAAGAGGACTATGCGTAGTCCAGGTTCCCCGAAATTGCACATTGTGGACACTGAGCACCATCTCCTTCAAGTGCAAGCGCGCTGTTTTGCAGTGGGAAGGCAAATCACGTGCAAGGATCCCCATGCAAAAGCAAAAGAGAGCGGACAGCCGCGATTGGAATGAAAGCCAGGCGACGGCCAGACACACAGAGCGCCTGAATCACGAAGACACCAACTTTCGCCCACGCTGGCAACCAATCAGATCAACGCCGTCCATGCGGTTTGCAATGTATATCAACTGCATGGGGGGTACCCAAAGAATAATGAGGCAGCCAACAGAGACTATCACTACTAAAATTGCAACCAGTCCTGGAATGATGCCAATCGTTGCCACAAGGATCAGGGAAGCAATTTCAGAAATCCTCGATCTCAAGCTGCAGCCCGCCATGACACCTTTCCCTTGTGCCTTCTGACACAGCGCCACCCGCAATCAAGCTCTCCCCGCCAACACACTTGGGATCACTTTCATGTGCGCTGCACGCATTGTTTTCGGCCCTGTGGCCCTCGGTTGGGTCTGCGGCCTCCGTGTCCTCGGAATAGCGTTTGCTGAGCTGCACGCGCTTCCACACTGCTCCCAGAAGGCTGCGCCACCCGGCTTCAGCCTCCCTTCGTCGTTTCTCTTCCGCCGCCTCGGCGCGATGTTGCTGCACTTCGAAGTAGGCCGCCAGAACGAGTTCTTCATTCTCCTGCCAGGGCACAAAGATTTTCAATTCCCACAGTCTGGAACATGAGGATTCAACTTTAACAAAATTCCGCTGCAATTTCCAACAGGGGCTTTGCCGGTGCACTTCAAACAGAGCAGGACCGTCAGTGGTCTGTGATAAACATCCACACCAACAAAGACAGTGGTATAGCAACCAATACTAGCAAATAGCATCACCATGCAACCAATGCTGCAATTGATAGACAACAACGACAGCAAGGACTCTGGAGCATTCAATGTCGCCGTTTTCCATTATCAGAACCTAGGTGCCGATGCAAGAGAACGGAGCACAGACGATGCAACATGGCCCAGACTATGTACCAGATGGTGGTGCGACTGAACCTTCACCCAGCGTGTTTTTTCGCTTCACCATTACTGTGCAATGTCCGAGTTGAGGTTAGTTTTCAAATTTAGCATGTTTCACCCCGTTTGATGCATTTACGAGCTATTTTTGAGACAATCCTGCGGGATACCTGCCCGACTATCGCAGCAATCCATCCTATTGGAGACAGTGCGCTTTCAGTAGGAAAAAACGGCCAAAATACACGGTTCTGGAAATCGTGTACCTTGCAACACGATTGAAAATCGTGTAAAAGTCGTTTTAAATTGTGTATTTATCGTATAGCAATGGGACCAAACCGTGTAGTAACGATTGAGTGTACATGACTTTCCCACGTTTCGACGCGGTTTGACACGGTTCGAAACCTTGTATTTTGGCCGATTTTTACTTGCGTGTGTTTGTTCCTTCCTGAGGAGGTGAGAAAGGAATCTGCCATCAAGCAGGGTCTTTTGGGCACGGGGGCCCGCTTACGTGGGCACAATTTGAGAACACTCACCTCGCAAACCACGACGCCCTCACACTTCGGCACGCCCCTTCCCCCCCTTGCATATTCAAACCCAACAACCGCCGGCGCAAAGTCGACCCCCAGATCCTTGCAAACTGGAACCAGGCCAGGAAATCGTAGGTGAACGGTGCCCTCTGGAAGAGCTGCCAACATGGGGGGGCACTCCACATTCCCAAACTTGTTCTTCGGGACTATGCCATCCCTGGCGACGGGCCTCTCCCATTCCACCGTTTGCCCGAATGCGTACAGAGGGAGATCTGTGTCGGCGCCGTTGACGCCTTCTCCCTCCACGGCAGCCTGGGGTGGTGCCAAGCGAATGCAGCAATCGCCATCAGAATGACAGTGACATAAAGCAGGGTGGCCTCAAGTACACCGCAGTCTTGCGACAGGAATCGAGTGTTTGAATCAACGCTGATTGCCATTCATGCCAACAGTTAAAAGGTCATGTGCATTGCGGGATGAAGGACATGTTGGAAAGGCAGCCAGGTATCAGAAGCGGCTCCTAGTGTGCGTTCGTGTTCGCAAAACAGCACACCCTCTTGGTCGCTTGTGTTGCCTGGCAAGCGCCGCAACAGCCACTCGTGGATGTGAATTGTGCCTGGCATCGCCTGTCTGGTGCAGCGGCAGCGCTTTGTCCTCATCTGGCCAATGCAGCGAATTCATTCTAATGCGCAGTGGCACAGATCAACAGCAGTGCAAAGAGGGCATGCCAGGAGGCGAGACTGGCCACCAAACATGAGCTCGGGCGTCTGCGAGTCGTCAGCCCCAAGGTGCTGAGAGCAGGTGTCACCTTTGCAGCTTCCCCTCCGCGGTCGCTCTTGGCGGATTTGCGGCGGCTGACGCGTTTCCAGGGCCTGCCGACTTCCTCGCTTACCACGACGCGGCCTTGCCTGAGCCAATTGTTAGCGGAGCGGACCTCGACCAGCTGCTCCTTCAGGTAATACGGCTCCCCACGGTGCAGGCCAACTTTCTGGGCACCGTGCTCCAACACCTACACGCACTTTCAAATTATCCATGTGAGAATTATATGGGCTGTGAGAGAGCGTTGTTACGGCTAGGACTGACTGAGTGTTTTCAATAACTGAGTGCATGGCAAGGTGATGAAGCACTAGGAATTGCATTAAAGGTGTTGATGAACGGACTGAATATAAAGGACAGAACGTCTGTTGTCCTTTTGCCTCGGCTGTAAGCCGTTGCCGCGGACTCGAGCGTACAATTCCCATTCAGGGATCGCCACCCCTCGACCCTGTCCGCCTTCCTCAGCGTCTTCTACGATATCGCGCCCGGAAACAGGGCGTAATCGACTGCACGCTCATTCTTGTTGGAAACTAATCGTTTCGCATGACCAAAAAAGAAAAAAAACACTGTCGAACAGCAGATCCTACAATTTTGGCAATTGGGTATCTGTACTACGCCACCTGGAACGCGAGGTCCTCTGCACTGTATTGCCATTGCGCATCAAGAATCTTAAGTGCCGACGTCCATGAAGGCGCCCAAAAGCTCCTGGTTTGGTGTTCCAAGAAAGGAACGAGTGTAGGGGCTGCGAAACGCAAGATACAGACACCGAGCCCTGTCGTCGTCGGAAGTAGTTCGCCTCACAGGTCCGTATTCGGAAGGCAGTCGACCGTTGATAGGAGGCGCAACCATTCGCGCAACCGTTCCTGGTGAGCTTGGCGGCCAGTGTTTCGCGCCACTTCTTCTGAGTCAGAATAAATTAGCGCTCTTTCAAAGTGCCTATTTTCCTGTCTGGCCCGAACATGAAGAAGAAAAAAAATCACAGCTGCGTGCCACGCATGAGAGTCCATGTAATAAACTCTTATCTAGGAAAGTGCTGCCCATTGCATGAAATGTTTCCCTCTGGGGCAAACGCTTTAGTGACAACGAATCACCACCTGGTACTTGCTGATGTGCCGCTTGAGTACGTAGTCTGGATGCTTCCTGAACTCCTCAATGGTTGACGGCACTCCCTTTCTTTGTGACGCGATTTGCCTTTCGAGCTCAGCATCCTCGCGCACACGCTGCAGCTCACCAGCATCTGCTGCGTCCAGCAAAAGCACTCAGACGCTGATTGAGTTTCGTTGCTGAACATCCGTCGCCGTGCTGCGCTGTGCAATTAGCGGCCGTTCGCTTCTTTTGAGGTATCGGTTTTCTGCTTCGTTTCGATTTTGGTTTCGACAAACGATACGTATTCACCAATGACAAGCTGACGCAGCGCCAAAGACGTCATTTATCCATGTTTATATCCAATTTTTCCAAACGCTCCTACATATTTATCGCCGTCTCATTGTTATCAACATTCATCCGTGCTTCTTGCCGGCTCACTGCGTGCTGCTCACCCTGCCATTTCCATGGGATGGGTGGAAGGCCTGTCGCTTTTGCAGACTCTGTATCGGCCACAGGCCCACACCAGTCCCAAAACCATCTTCCCAGGCGCCAAGGCGAACTTGAGCCCACGCAGGAAACACGCCAGTCACATTTGCGCATCCATGCGCTGCTGCACATTACCTCCCATTTCCACATGGTCGTGGAGCTGCCGTGGCCTCCGCTTTGCCTTACTGAACTAAAGCCGAATCAGGCTTCGAAATTTTCCTCAAAATATGCTCCACCGATGCAGAAAAATGGTAGTTAACTTCGCTCTGAGTTCAACAATACTGTTGAATTCAGAGTGAAATTAGCTAGCTGTTTTTCACACCTTGGCGTTCGTCACACGCACCTGACTTCTGTAGTCCTTGAGGGCGGCCGGGCTGTGCACATGTGCCCAATGCGGCAACCTCGCGGGACCTCAGGGGGGCCATGGTCCGTGCCCACCAGTCCTTGCTTCGGTGCCTTTCGGCCTTCGTAAAGTCCGGCGAATACCTGAACGATCAGATACAGGGCAGGTTCGACCATCTGTGGCGCGAACGAGGCGGCAACGAGGTACAGGCGCGATCGAATCGTGAAATATGCAACGGGCAAGTCTAGGATGACCATCTCAAGTCTCCAGAGGAGGAAAGTGTCGAAAGGAAGATAGAGAAGATGGGAGGGCGGCGAAAGTGGCACTTCTTCTGATGAGGAGAATGCACTGCTGCCGCGTCATCGCAGCGATTTCAGGCAACCACTAATCTGCGCTTTCCGGACTGCGCATTACATCAAGCCGAGTGGGAAACCGGGGCTCTGCTCAATCCTTCCCGTGTGCGGAGGTGGCACTGATCTTCGCAGCGTCTTCAGAGCCAGGTGGGCCTAAGCAGCGACCCGACTGCTTACCTCTTGGTGACGTCTTTGGCGCCACCTCCAAGGAAGGCCACAACATATGCGAGCGGAAGGGAGGGCAGGTTGCAGTCGTGGACGACATCGGGCCTGGAACCCCAGGACAAACGAACATGAGATGGGGGGAATAAATGCATGCAGCTTTAGGCAGGTCTCACAGATAAGCCACTTCGATGTGTGGTGGTCTCTGAACTGGCCATAAATAGGGTTATAATTGCCAATGTCAGTGGCAGATTCTCAAACCAAATACAAGAATACCATAATAACATTAGCAGCCAGGGAAATGGCAATGATACTATTGGGACACACAAGGCCCACCGCACAGAACGCCTTTCCTTGAAGTCTGCATTGGTGAGACAATCGAGCACCAACTGTCAGCCTTGTCACCAAAGCCTTCAAGCAGGATGTCAGCCAATCACAGCGGTGCTAGTCCAGGAATGCACCAAGAATGGGACATATGTTGTGGGACGTATGCATGACGTATGCAGGATGTATGCGGTCCTGTCGCGAATGTGAGCCATCCGTAAGCTTGTGGCTGGCTTGCCACACACCTGTCAATCCAACCCATCACGCCATCGACATGAACCCATTTTCCGCCTCCAGGCGATCCCCAGAACACCTCACACCAGCCATTTCCGAAATGGGTTGAGAGGGAGCGGCTCCATCCAGAACCGCTTCTCTGCCTCTTGCCAGCATGAACGTCCCCAGTTGGGGGCCTTGCCTGCCCGTGTGAGGACTGCCCACCTTGCGAAATAAAACAAATGCTTGAGGGTTCATTCCCATGCCTGTGCTAAACGCACAAGACGCAAGAGATACTGCATCATGACCAAATTCTGGGCATCAACACACTGAGACACCTGGTATTCTGGCTAGGCCAGTTTGATGGTCTCAGTGCATTGTGAGCAGATTGATGCCAGCAGCGCAGCCTTCCCAAAGACTTCTAGTTTCCTTCAGTTGATGTTTTCTCCTTGGTGATGTGGAAGTTCGAATATTTGGAGACCATTTCTGCGAAGGTTTGTGGCCATCAGAAATTGATGCTGTTTCAACACTGTTGGTCAGCAGTGGCATGCGACAGCACTGATCACTGTGCTTCAGCTCATGTGCAAGGCTGCATTCGTTCAGATGGTCAGCAGCAAGAACACACACATATACCCAGTGTGCATCTTCCCTCTCTCAACACCTGTGGCATTCAACTGCCTGAGCACGTTACTGGCAGCCCTGCCAATCGCCAATTTCACAGGGCAGTGCAACTGAAACACACACCATGTTTCTCTTTGGGATCTCCATCCACATCCTCCCGCGATTTGAAAGCGGTCGCTGCCATTGCTATGGCCAACTCTCTTTCAAACTCCTCATCCCCTCTATTCTTCACCTTCTTATTGTCGTCTGCACAACTGCTCAACACCCCTTCAGTTCCTTCGCCACCTTGTTCAGCTTCCCTCTTTCTCTTTGAGCTTGGCCTCTGCTGTCTGCGCCCACCCTGACAGCATCCAAACAAGCATCAACTGGCGCTATTCAGCTTTTGCTGCCAGTGGCAACAAAGGCAGGTGCCACAGCTGCAGCCACAACTGTAGGTGATAGAAACCACTGTAGGTGCCCATTCTTGACCTGTTTGCATTTGTTGGTGGCATTAGAGCATACTATGGGCCAATGGAGACCACTTGGAAACAGTTGATATGCAACCATAATGTTATCAGATAGTGACATGACATGACACAGAAGTGAAACGACATTCATGTTGTAATGCTATAACATTCTTCTGTCTTGATGTACCATGTTTAGCCAGAACCAGCCACTTCAGCACGTTGCAGTCCACATGGAACCCAACGCACTTGTCACGCATGCTCAACATGATGCAGACAACAGCAAACCAGTTGTGCATTGAGCCAACATACTATGGGCTTCAAGGATGTTCTGGCAAGCTAAACTTAGGGACCACACTTGTGCCACAGCACAGCAACTCTCCAAAGCAGATGTGATATCCTGGCACTGCTCATGGTGCATGCAAATTTCCAGGGAATCGTCTAAGATTGACATCTGACAGGCACAACATACTGACACCTGCTCACTCCACATCAGGGACTATGACTTTTAGAGCCCCACAGTGCAGAAATGAAATCACATGTGGAGGTTATCTGTGATTATTCATAAATATCCATTACTGACCATTTTCTTTTGAATCTTGGAGTCTGGCATTGACCCCTTCTTGTTGGCAGACACCATGCGGGGATGAAGAGGAAATGCATCCAGGATCCTGACGAACAAGCCACACATTTTGAGAATTTGTGTCAGATTCCTTGAAGATTACAGTTTTCAGGTCATGTACTTTAACCAAAACGAAAAAATACCGAATGAGCCTCTTAACAGGCTTCACCCCTTTCAACCCTGCTATTCAATGCATGCCACCAAGCATGCAAACTAGCAGTCGTGTCCACACCTTGGCAGGAGAGTTGGTCACCGTGCAGCATTCTAAGATGCACCACATCATGTACATGCAATAAACATTCTGGAATGAACATGAGGGTATTCAGTTTGTGCAACGCTGCTGATGCGAGCAATCAGCCCTGGGTGGGACTGGCTGTTTCCCCACTCTGAGACAGCACCACTCACCTCACAAGCCTCACCACAAGGCCCAAAGCCCTGAGCAGTGCAGTGAACAACAGGCACAGCTGCTCTGCTGTCCCTTTCCCCTTCTCCACTGCCTCACGCAACGCACTCACAGGGGCCTCACTAAGACACCTGCTGTCAGAGGAGCCATTGTAACCCCAGTTTGGCGCAAGGCCATCTGTTGGTTGCACGACTCTGAAGTGCGACTTGAACCAAAGCACCAAGCCCTCCAGTGCACTGCGTGGCTCGTTTTGCTGGTCTGGGTTGGGAAGCAGAGCATGTTGCTTCGGTACCATGGAAAGAATCGAAGCCTAGGTGTGCACCACCACAGCCAGTTAGTGGAGTAACCATGTGAACAAGCTAGAAATGCATATCTTCAGGCACGTTCAAATGGGGCGCCCTTTAATAGGGCTTCCATTGGTAGGGGAACAATGCAGAGGTTTGACATTGTGATTTCTACCCTTCGCTGCTGGTGACCCAGGTTGCCAGCTTACAAGGGCAGACGCTGTTCAGGTTGCTGAGTGGCCTGCCATATTGCCAGAATTCGCCTCTTTGCTCAAAGGTCCTCAACACAGTCACGCTCATGGCTTGGTCAGCCTTATACAGAACATATATTCTGTTCAGCAATCACAGATGGGACAGGTATGGCAGTTCCCATATTCAAATTGGGCATCGCAACCTGAGATGATTGATGACCCAACCAGAGGATTTTAAACAAAACAAACAAATGGACATGTCGAAATGAACGGCACCACAGCTCGCACAAAAATTGACACGCAGAGCGTCATCATCCTGACTTCTGTCTGCACCATTCATTTCATGACATGGCCAGTACATGACAAAGAATTCCAGCCAGCTATGTGATGGACAACAACCATAGTAGCAGATATTAAACATTTAAGAAACTCTAAGCAGCAAGCAGGAATGAATAGGATGGATTCAAAGGTAAGGTTCAAGTCACAGTTGACTTAGCAAAGAGCTTTGTCCGCCCAAACAAGTTCTTATGATCGGTCCCTCAGCTGAAGGTAAAGGGAGCTGCTTAGCAACCAGCATGGATTCTGGCGAAATGTGCCTGAAGGCAAGCTGGCAGCCTCACCTGCAGCAGCTCGTTGTCCGCTATCTTGTCTAAGAGCATGCCCCTGCACAGTAGGCACAAAATGTGCGCCTTGTGCACACTCTGGCGAAATTGTCGCTCTTCTTTTGTGATGCCAGATCTCTTTTTTCCTGCCAAATGACAAGTGGCCACTTGTAAGTCCATGGCTGACCGCCAGACCTTCCAAGACTGCCATTTGTTAGCTATCAGCACACACTCTACAATATATTCCCACAATTACTGAGCTTCTGCCACGCCCACCAATGGACTGTGTGCCCGTGGTGTTGTACACAGTGTCAGCTTTGACATCCCCTGTAATATGTTTGTGCATGTCCTTGGTGCATTGCATTCCACCTCTGCTGAAGCGTGCAGCACAGGAACCAAAGACCAGCAAACACTAGCCACAGGTACAATCCACAGCTATCATGTGCGCATGCACAAATCTCAAATACTGCTTGCCTATTTACACTTCTCCTTGGATTGTATTTCTCTCACGATATTGGGTGCAAGTGTGTGCTTGTTCTTTGATAGCATGGATACAATCACTCAGGTTGGCGCTGTCCCATAGGGATGCACTGAAAGAGGCCATTGTGCTATCTCACGCATGCTGTTGCTCTCTGCTTCATAGGAAGCATATTGGCTTGCAAAAGTTGAAGGGGCAGACGTGTGTTTTGTGCTTTGAGCTAAACACTCCACATATGACTTTTTCGCCTATCCATGCTTGATGCAAGTTCATTCAACTCCTGGACACACAATGCTGCTGGATTCCTGGCAGACATATTGCTCAGACAAGGCTAAATAAGGTCTTCTCACCTTGCTTGACATCTTTGCCCCAAGCAACAGACACATCGTCACCTTCCTGTGGAGAACGACCCTCTCCAATGTCATCGGCCCCCTCCCAGGAAACATCGTCCCATTCCTCATCGTCTTCCTCCCCGCTGCTTTGGACAATCATGGCTCCCTGAATATTAGCAATCCACGCTATGATCGCTGGTTTTGTGCCCCTTCATTAGCTTCTATTGAGGTGAATGGACCCCATGCTGCATAGCATGCTGAGTGTATGATGCTGCCATACAACGTGCCAACAAACAGGATTGCATATGATGCATACGATACATATGATTCAAGTCCCTGTTAAATGAAACCTGGTACCAAGAGTTCTGGAGGGCAAAGAACAACTGCGGTGCTCAAATAGCAGAGGACAGGCAGTGAAAAAGAATTGCAATGTTGTTTGGCTGGTGCAAATGGGAATGCAAACATGGTCTGGGCTCCGTGTTTTTGCTGGGAATACTGACCAGCATTACCAAATCAGCAAAGGGACTTGCTTTGCAACCATCTTTGCGAACGTACACGCTCGAATTAGCATTTCTAGGGATTGGTAGTCCTTCCAGATGGCATGAAGAAGCACAAGAGTCAAGCCAGACCTCATGTTCTTGGCTCTCCCTTGTTTCCAGTAAGATGGGTGTTGGGATCATTTCAATTGTTTTAGTCTCCAGTATGTGCCAATGCATTCTCAGCCAAGTGTAGCCACTTCCTTCAACACATAACTGACGAACACAGGGTACTCAGACCCTGGTTGGATCCACACCACCGCTGCACTTGCATGGGCTGGCAAAACACTTAAGATAGTGGCATGACATGCCCCAGTTGTGATCCACTATGCTGCGACGACAAACGAACATCTGCAAACAAATGAAAGAGGAATTTTTGTATATTGCACCTGGCCACCATAAATGTTGTCCTCCTCCATGCCATCGCGCACAGCATCTTCATCTCCTGCAGTAGATTGGCTTGTCAGATTTTCGCACAGCCACATTCAGTATGAGGCAGCTCCACAATCGGGTTTCTGCTTTCATTACGTCTGTCCCTAACCTTTCCAAATAATCCATCTGTTGCCCCATTTGTTGGTACAGGGGAACATGACTTTCTGGACAGGGAAACAGAGGGTTTGTGGTGGCACGTTCAACAACCAATAGGAGGACAGATTTCCGAAACTCAGCTTGTCCAATCATCAGAATGTTGGGGTCTACATGACCATTGATGAGCCGCAAAAAACAGCGCTTTTGTTTACCCAACGTGCTGCCTTGGAGTCCACAACTCTACATTGCAACAACGCTCGAAAGTCAGGCCCCAGGGCACACACCCATAAAAGCCAATGCACGTCAATGTGTACAAATGGTTGTCGCCCAGGGTACCACATGGATCTCTTGTGCCGTGGCACGCAGCCCACCCTTGCCTTTTGTATCTCGCCTGCCATCATCCGACTCAGCGCGCTTGGCCGGAGCACCACACGTCCCGTCGATTGTGGGCACCTCCTCCGGTACAAAGAGCCCCGCTGCCTGCGACACCGCGGTCTCGCTGAGCGCGCGGAGATGAGAAATCTCGACCGCCGCCCCACACCACACGCAACGGATGTGCCCCAAATGGCCTTGCCGGTTTGAAAGGGTTTTGAACGGATTGCACACATTGCCAGCAACAGTTCGACACATGCTTGCTGTTTCGAGGTTGCGGACGCACTGAGGTCCGCTGGCACGTGGCGCAGTCACAGAGCTCCATTCAATCTGATCAGCGTCCACAAAGCAGACTCGTTGGCGCAGACCCAGCCAGGCTTGTCCACCTTTTGGATTGCGGAGACGCCACCTCAAGGATTCCAAAAGACTGTCGCATTCTCTCGCAACCCGGTCGACAACTCGGCTCCTCGGGATCTGAGCCCACGGGGGCACGCTTGGCGCGAGCCTCGCGCAAGAAACAAACGACCGATCGCCCATCGAGGCAACAGTACCCCGGACAACTGCTCCGTCGACTCGGTCACCTTGGCGGCCTTCTTCAGCAGCCCTGCGCGCCGCTTGGCCTCCCTCTGGCCCGCCCTGGTGTCGCCCCTCCCCAGGAGCCTGTCCAGCCCGGATTGGCTGGCGCCGGCGAGCGTGTCCGTCCGCTCTGCATCCCAAAAGCAGGACGGCAGTGTCAGATCTGCCATCCGGACACATGCACCGGAGTGATGTGCGCGAATTTCGGTGGCCGTTTCGAGCCAGGAGGCACCTTGCTCAGGTGCCGCCCTGGCCGGTCGGCCTTGCTCCGAGGTGTCGGTGTCGCCCTTGGCGCGGGGCATATTGGGTGGGGTGGCAAGGAGGGCTGTGGCCAGAGGCGACACCGGACAGCAAAAGACTGGGAGCACACTGCAGCCGCATTGTACCGTACGCATTATTGTACTGTGCCGTACACAGTTTAGGGCAGAAATGTGGGTGGAAGCGGTGAGGAAAGGGCAAATAGAACATATCTAAATGCTTGTCCACAACATTCGAACATCCTGTTGACTTGGCCGAGCGGTCTAAGGCGCTGGAGTAAGGTTCCAGTCCGAAAGGGCGTGGGTTCAAATCCCACAGTCAACACTTCTTTTCCGGTAGCCGGGATTTTAAGCTGTCGGCCGTTGGGGTTTGTCGCCGCGGGACAGCCAGTCGTTGTTGGAGCGCATACCTGCCCGTCCCCTCTGTGCCCTGCCACGCCTGCGAGCGCGTTCACTTGCAGCGCAAGGATGCTGCCTCACCACGGAATACGTCGCGGGCCAAATGTGCAAGCCTTTCCAGCGTCAAACGGTGCTTGCGACCTGCCATGGCTATCGCCAATACAGCCTTGTTCGCTCCCGGGTCTTAGTGTACACAGTGCATGACTGTTACATTTCGTTGTGGCTGCAGGAAATTAGAGTGCCATCTTTTGGCTTGACTGGTTTGCTGCTTTCGCTGCGAATCTTTCAGATCACATCTGCAAGGGTCGTGTCAAACTCTCGATGGTTGACACCCACTCCCCGGCGGATAGTCACAGAGTTTTGGTTGTGCTCGCCGTGGTAGACAAGTGGTTGACAACTTCGTCTTCAGTTGCTTCGGTCAGCGAAATGGCACATTTGGGATGACCGTGGCGCAAGTATCAGCTCCAAACATGTGCCCTGTGCCTTTTGTGGAGACTGCTGAAACATCAGGAGCGGAGAGAAGGCGGGCTTGGATGTTGTTGTTGAGCTGTTTTTGGCGTCGCTTCCACAGGCTTGCTAACACGCGGGCACGTTCACTGGCAACAGGCAACCAAAATTTTTTGGTGGCGTGCGAAATTTTCCACAACATATCGCCATGTACCAGGGCGATGTCCCAACGCCATGCTGCGCGCCCTTCGCTATTTTCGCGTTTTGCTGTTGGTGTCTTGTCTGGTCGATTGATCGGAGGTCGCTACTCTCTGCACACTGGGGGGTGGGAGATCCAAGTAGTCAGCCAGCCTGCACGCATTGCAAAGGTGCCCTGCAAGAAAATAACGTTATTGAACTTCACGTAATCCAGCCGCTACATGGCAGCTCGGTCGGTTCATCGAAACCTGCCGCTACCGTGCAAGCAAACAAACGTGATTGCCCGTGGTGCAAGCGCCACCCTGATTGCACGACCGACTGGCGCACGCAACCCCGGCCCACCCAACGGTGTCGTGCAGAGCGAAGACGTCGTGCCGGGCGCACGGCCACAGAACTTCGCCTTGCTGTTCCGTAGACACGTGTCCACCGACTCAACGTCTTCTCGGGCGCTGGCGACCCCAAGCCCCACTGATCCTGCTGAGCCGTCAAGCGCCCACAACCAGCGGAAATTGCGGCGCGAACCGCACCGAGATGCGGCCCCAGATTCGGTGAATCGTCAGTCACTACCCGCCAGATCCGCGCGGCGGTGCCCGAGGTGCCCGACGGATGGCGGCCTGAAGCCGTGGCGTGCCGCAAAAAGGCTTGCGTAAACGTGACGCGGCCCATTTGGGGCAGCATATCGCGGGTAACGTAACGAAATGCCCAGCCCGCAGCCGCATTTGGGCCTCCACGCCGCGACGTTGTGGGGCAGGTGCGTGGCAACGCGGGGTCGGGTGCGCGCTCCCCTCGCGCCAAGTCTTGCGCCCCGCCGGACCAGGCGCGCTCTCCTGCCTGGCACCACCCTCCCCCGCGGCCCCTTCCCCGTCCGCCACCCCCGCGCAATTTTCTTTCCCCTTGGGGCAATCCGCCAATCCCATTTGCAAGGAATTGCGCCCAATTTCGCCGGGGGGACATCACCCCGGATTCCTCGGCCCCGCCTGCTGCCGCCCCGAGCGGCCCGAGCCGGACACTCGCCTCCGCACCCAAGCGGCAGCCTCCGCGGCCGCTTAAGGCCCAGGATGCTGGACTCGGTCTTCTCCCGCCAGGACGGGTGCAAGGGTTCCCCGATGGGCCCTCGTGGCCCTGGCTGGCACAGGCAGTCCCCCCGCCGGAGGGGCGCATTGTCGCGCGGCTGGCCGTCCCGGGCCGAACTGGTGCTGTTCGCCGTCTTCGCCACCCCCGTGCTGCTGTTCGTCTCCTTCCTGCCGAGCATGATGTCATCCACCGGGCAGCCGCCCGCGGGCGCGCCCCAGCCCGTGCCCGCGCCGGTTTTCGGCAGCACCGGCCTGGAAAAGCCTGGCGTGGGGTTCGTCTTCGTGGGGATGGGACCTTACGCGCGGCAGCTGAAGTGTGAGACGGCCATCGAGAGCCTGAGGAGGCACGCGGGCTGGGGCGGGCCCGTCTTTCTGATTACGGACGCGCCGCAGTGCTTTGAGGGCGAGCGGTGGGGGGGGTGCGGCCTGAACGCGACGGTGGTGGCTGTGGAGGGCGAGGGAGACCTGGCCGCCGGTTTCACGGTGCCCAGCCTCACGGCCACCAAGGGGAACCGGCTGCGGAGCAAGAGCTACAAGATGCGCATTTTCGAGCTCATCCCGGACCCGGCCATCACCACGCTGGTCTTCATGGACTGCGACATCCTGTCGGCGGACGCCCCGGGGGGCTGCCTGGAGGCGTTCCTGGCCGAGTACGCCAGGGAAGACCGATTTGACGCCGACCGGCGGATTTGGCTGTTCCCGGAGAACGACGACACTAAGATTCAGGGGGTGGTGCACTCGGGGTTCTTCGTGGCGCACAGGGAGTGGTCGGCGCCCCTGCTGGCGCGGTGGCACGATCAGCTGATGACGTTCACGGACCACGCGGACCAGGCTGCGTTCGTGCGGGCGGGCATTACGGAGTACCGGTTCATGGACGAGCCCAGGTACTTCTACAGGCCGAGGTGCGACCGGGACGACTGCCCCGCCATGCCGCTGAAGTGCTTCAACCACATCAACGGCGCGCGGTGCATCAAGCAGGGGGCGGACTCCATACAGACGTTCATTGACAGGTGGGGTTTGCCGCTGGCTTGCTCACATCGCCCCCCGATACAACATACAATTGTTTGATGAGTATTTGATTGATGTTTTCTTTAACCCCCTTGTCTACGCTTATTCTTGTCCTAATGTTTTAATGTAATTCGAAACGTAGTCCAAGCAGGTCACATTCAGCTCAGTTGACTTCCTTGGCGGGTCGTTTGGCGTTCTCGAACAGGTGGGAGCTGTGCAGCCTGGGGGACGCGCAGTACTGCACGCCCCTGTACATGGAGCCCTTCGCGAAGTCGTGGCTGCCGTACACGACCTGCCGGAAGATGGAGGAGGGGCTGTTCGGGAGCTGGAGCGGCAAGAAAGCGCAGTCGATGCGGGTGCAGTCGTGGTGACGGCTTCTGACGGGGGCGGGCGGCAGGAAAAGTGACGAACTCTGAAGGCAAAGAAAAACGGAATGTGGAAATGCGGGGAGTGTGGCTCGCGGGCGTTGTCGTGGCTACGGTGTCTAGCAGGGGAGACGATAGCCCTGGAACTGACGAACTTTGAAGGCAAAGAAAACGTAATGTGGAAATGCGGGGAGTGTGGCTCGCGGGAGTTGTCGCGGCCACGGTGTCTAGCAGGGGAGACGAGAGCCAGGGAGGCCGCCGAAATGAAAAGGCAGCGCGGGTGCGGAAGCGTTAATTGTTTGAAATGGGGCGAGGGAGCAGGGAATCGATGGATTGCGAACGCTGGTGTGAGGGTGTCCTGTGATTGGCCCCTGGGTCGACCAGGAATTCTTGATGCGGGGATTTCTCGTGCATGGCATGCGGGTTGCAGCGGGGGGATGCGGGCGAGGACTCGTCGGGTAAATGAGCACTTGGGTTGTATTTTCGCAGCACGGACGGTCGCAGTGCTACCCAGCATTTGATTCGGCTCGCCCTTGTCGGGGTGGAGCAGCAGTCCCATCTTGGGGTGGGAATTTTTGGGGCACTGCTGGCAATTGTTTCTCGTTGAACAATTTCTGGTTGTACCATCAGGGTTTACGTGTATTAATGTGAATGTTTGTGTATGCGCGAGGCTGGAATCCCCCTGTGGCTGCTGCAGCATTCGCCTTGGGCACCTGGTGACCGTCAAGGTTGACTGATGTGCGGGCCCCTGTGGATTCCGTCCCTGGGGCAAGGGCGCGGTTAACATTGGCATTTGCCGCCGAGAGCTTGCATCTCGTCCCCGACGCCGTTGCATCTGCGGTGGATGTGCTGCCAAGGGCTGGTCGCTGAGAAAATCAATCGACAGCTCAGTGAAGGTCAACTGCCAGTCTGCAGCTGGGCCATGAATTGGAAAGGGGCCAAGCATGTGGGCTGCACCCACGTGGGGTGGGGAATTCATGACGCATTTCGGCACAAAGGGCGGGGGAATCATGTTTGGCTCCATTCCTGGTAGCGTTTGCTGGACAGTCTGGCCCTCAATCGCCCCTTATCAGCTGGCTCGCCTGCCGCGTCGCCCTTCGTCGCAGCGAGGCCAAGGAGGGAAATTCGTTGCCTCCCTCGTGCCAAGTCAGCGCGTAACGCTCCAAGGCTCCGAAATCAAATATTGACTACCAACGGGAGAGGGGAGCTCTGGCCTTCAAGCATGGACCCGCCTTGCGAAGCACCCAAGTTCTGCTTATATCTAGGAAGGGCCGCCACGGCTACCAATTGACAACCCTGGTGTGGAAACTGCACGAGGCGTTTATCCGCCATGAAACCCACCAGACAACCGTGCATGCTGCTCCCGACCGCAGCACAGGATACCCAACGCCAACACACCGATCCAATTTCATCATCACCTGGGTAACGCCATTAATTGCGTGCGCGGTGCCGACAAGGTGCTGCCATTCGAGCGGTTGGGCGGGTGGTCCTGGGCGTTGTGCGTCTGTGGCGTCGCAGCCCGTTCCCCCGATGGTGAAAATCACGTCCGCCAATTCCTCCCGCCCGGCGGTGGCCGCCCTCCACCGCAGGGAGGACGCCGCGAAGGTACCCCGACCTACCCGCCCGAACACCCACCCCGGACGCTGGCCCACGTGCAGGATTGCAACTCGCTGGCCACCCATTGCTCACATGTCGATTTGTTTTGTGCGCAGGCACCCAAGCCGGCCGACGCCCAGAGGGCTGCAGGGCGGGCGCAATCGCTCGGTGGGGGCTCACCACGATGGGCATTGACGTCCCTTTGTCGACTTTGTCTTTATGCCAGGCGTGAATGGGGCGTTGCTTGCGGATGGTTCCCGCGAGCAGGGGAACTTGACCCCGAACCCCGACCCCGATGCCCTTGACCCCGATGCCTGCATGGTCGCGAAGTGCATTGAAGCGCATTGGCGCAGCGTCGCACGCTGCGTCCAGGGAAATTACCTTGGGCATTTATGGCCGCTGCTCGATCACATGGCGAGGCTGCTGAGGCGCGGGTTGGCTCGTCCTGCAGGCCTGCGCTGCCGGTGCCACGAGCAGGGGCCCGCCGAGCGCGGGGAGGCCAGCCGGCGGAATGTGCTGCTGGGCGCGCCGCTGGTGGCCGCCGGCGCCGCCCTGGCCGGCGACGCGCGCGCGGAGGACCTGCCGGACTACCTGAGCACCGACGATGTGGCCAACCGGTGCCCGGAGTGCGCTGGCACGGGCGTCGTGCTCTGTGAGTACTGCCGTGGCGGCGGGTCAGTTTGTGTGCATGCCGTTGACCAAAACACGTGAAAGAACGAGGTCCCGGCGCCTGGGGAGGTGATGACGGCGGGTTGCTTTGGGTGTGGATACCTTTGGGAGGGCACAGCCGCGTGCGTGCAGCCTTGCACACTGTCCCAAAAACTGCACCAAAAATTCAGGAATCCATCAGACTTTTGTGATCTTTAAGCGGAAATCTGCCAGTTGGCGTATGGGGGATTGTGCTGATGTGCGCCGCGGTTTTGGTGTGGGTTGTCGTGGATTGGGATGGGGGAGCCGCTGTGTTGGAATCGCCGTCTGAAGGCTGCTGCTCAATTTGAGTGTTGTTGCTGCGGGGATAGGTGACATGTGTGGTGGCACTGGCAAGTGGCGGGCCTTGAGCCGCAAGCGCGCCAAAGACTCGTACGAGTTTGTGGAGTGCCCACAGTGTTTCGGCAGGGGGGCGCTCGTCTGCGGCCATTGTTTCGGTGAGTTTGATGCCATTTCGCACGGTACTTGGTGTGACGCCCGTGTGGCGCCCTTGCCTTGGCTTGCTTAGAGGGTGCAAAATAGGCTGCAGCAGCTGAGGTGCGGCATTGGCATGCATGGGCATGGCGGACGAGGTTGCGCAAGGCTATAGTTGTCTTCCTTCGTGTGGCTTCGACGGGCGCTGCTTGTGGGTCCCCTCGTGTTGCCCTTGAAGTGCAGTATTGTATCTGTTTGGAAGATAAGCAGGAGCCCTTGTTCAAGAATATCAGGCTGCGAAGGTGCATCTCCACGATCATGTGCACCATGTGAAGGGTGCGCTTCACAATTTCTGTACTGGTTCGGGCATGGACTGCAACAACGGTTGAATTACGTTGCAGGTACAGGTCTCAGGAATGTAAAGGGACTTCTCAGGAGGCCAGAAGCCAGCCTGATGGTGCAAAGAATGCAGCATGGAGAAATCAAGCCAGGTAATACTGCTCAGTCTGGCCCATGCATTAGTATGTTCCAGAATGATTATCGCCTTCACTGTGAGAATGTGTGAATTAATTTTGGTGACATCCTGGTAGGAATATTTCTGAAGGAAGCCCAGAGAAATGCAGCGCAAGTGCAATTGGTCAGGCATTGTGCCTTGAGCAAGACAATGTCCATTTGTAGCTCCCAGCAGGTGCCCCTGCTTGATCACCACTGCTGTGCAATCCTGTGATACGAAATCCTTCAGTATACCCCCTTTCTCCCAAATGTTGGCCCCCCATCAAATAGTATGGTGAGAATGTGTGAATTAATGTTGGTGACATCCTGGTAGGAATATTTCTGAAGGAAGCCCAGAGAAATGCAGCGCAAGTGCAATTGGTCAGGCATTGTGCCTTGAGCAAGACAATGTCCATTTGTAGCTCCCAGCAGGTGCCCCTGCTTGATCACCACTGCTGTGCAATCCTGTGATACGAAATCCTTCAGTATACCCCCTTTCTCCCAAATGTTGCCCCCCCATCAAATAGTATGGTGCTGGCTGCCCCATATCAAATCAATATTCTGGGAAGCAGATAATAGCTGAAACATCTTCCCAATGCCACAAATCAGATGGCTGGACATGTTTCATCCTTGTCGCCGTATAAGTTCATAGGATATACACTGACTTTTCTCACTATGGAAGGAACTTGCCACGGTTAGGGAATGTGCTGTAATCATCAGCTAACCACCTGTCACCTGCCCAGTTGCTCTGTATCCAACACAGGAAATCGCTGGTGGGTACCGGCATGTTAGCGCAGGAGAACAAACGGCAGCGATTATTGCAGCTCCCTTCTTCCCAAGTGGCATTTCATTGGCTTGCACAGAGTGTGGCGATCTGGTGTCAGCCCCCCATGCATTGCTGTTTGGAAAATTGAATGGCTGAAATAAAAATGTTCACTGTGGACAGCGTTTGCCAGCAACGAAGGTTTTGCACACTAGGCAATGATTGCAGCAGCAACATTCACTCGAGCACTTCAGGTCTCCCATGAGCGTAGTTGCACATGCTGTGCATAGAACGATGTGCAGACAATGGCAGAGGTGTTGGCAGTACAGAAAGGAGTTGGTTCATATTTGGTCGTTGCAGTTTTTGCATAATTTGTAGTGTTGACCACGTTCTCACTACTGCCCGCACTGCTGCAGGCGAGGTTAAGGGTCTGCTTCGCAAGGGCTACGAGGAGATGAAGCAACGGGAGATGCAAGAGGCGGCGAAACAAACGGATTGATAAACAAATGTGCCTTCCATGTTTTAGACAAGCTTATGAGAACAAACTGATGACCGCCTTTTGCAGTTGATTGGATGCTGACGATGCAGACATTCTTTGTTATTTCGAAAGTTTTGTGTTATTTGTCGAGAGTGACAGCTCGCATGTCCCAGTTGTCTGTGCATACTTTTGTGACACCTCACAATGACCGCCCTTTCTGGTGGGCCAATTGCCGCAAAGGCAGACGGTGAATGCGCGAATGCGACATTTGGATCATCTGGCTTGTTAACCCTCAACTGGCACCTCCTCGATAAGAGTCCCCGCTACGAAAACCAGCCCAGGTTTGCGACCCCGTCCCCAACTGAGTATTGACATTGGAAGCTCTCTGCCTTTTGTTGGTTTGGGTTTTGGGTCGAAGGTTTAGGGTTTTAGGGCACACCAGATGCTGAAGCCCAAGACATTTGTGTTTACGTGCCAGAGGCAGAACAAAGAGAAAAAAACAAGCACTTTGAATTCAGCAGAGAGGCCAGATCGTTCACTTAACGTCCAGTGGCAGGGCCACACCCATCCAATGGATGCCTCCCCGTGTTGCACCTGTTCGGCCCCGCATCGCATCAGTACCTAACGGACACCCTATCTACCCAACAGCCGACAACACCACCGGGCCCAGTACATTGCCGCCGTTCCCCTCGCCTGCGGACCAGGCCCCACCAGCTGCAGCCACGTTCGGCGGCGCTGGGCCTCCAGCCCTGGCCCGAAGCTGCCCTGCAGCAGGTAAACCCAAAAGGCGTTCAAAACACCCGCCGAAGAGCCAAAGTCTGGGGCGTTACTCTGCCTGGGGGGAAGGGGGTGGGGGGGAGGGGCCGATCTGTTGAGGGATTCAATGGGGAGGGAAGGGAGTGGTGATGACGGCGGGGTTTTGCCCCTTTGCATCCATCCGCGACGTTCTCCGCTGGTGCGGCACAGCCGTGGCGCGGGCCTCTCGGGACGGCTTGGCGTCTCCGGTGCGGTGGCCACGAGGCGCCCGAAAAGCCCGGGTTGGTGAGAAGATGGATGTCTTCCTTGAGTGCGCGGATTGCCTGGGGGGATCAGAGTGGGGCGCGTCGCGTCAAGAGGACGCTTTTCGATCCGATGCTGCAGGACAGGGTTGGGCCCCTTGAGGGGCACGGTCCCGCCCCGTCGACGGCGTCGTCCAAAGTCTCCCAGTCCTTTCACGCGAAGATTCCGGCTTCTGAAATCAAGGGTTGGCTGCTGTTGCTGGCCAATCTCTAAGTTGGAATGCCTTGGAGTCCGTCTTAGAGGCCGTCTCTTTGTCCCGGAGTTGATGCGGAGGTGTTGGCCGCGACCAAGTGGACCGTCCCTCATGATCAGGGGCTTCGCAACAGGGCGATGTCTTGTTCGGGCGTGTGGTTCCGTTGAGCGGTGCGTGGGCGCAATTGCGTGTGGGCATCGGTGCCGAGTACCGGGGAAGGGCGGGGTCTGGGTTGCCGAAGTCCCGACTTGGGAGCGAAGGCCGTGAGGCCAACGGCCAGCCTAGTCGCTTTCGAGCATCCCCCCAAGCAAGAGCCGTCGGGAGCGAGCACGAGTGCATGGAAATGAATGGGTGTATCCTTCAAGGCGACTAAAAAAACACGGTACATTGGCCATGCCATGAGTTAGTTCCTAATTAGCTCAACTCTAGGGAACAAGCACGATGTTTCGCACGAGCTCGTCACTTTGCGATTTTGGCGGCGAATTTTCTGCAGTCAGAGAATTGGTATTGAATCTCATGGAATCCTAAGATTGTGCCGGATGCAACGTCTTGGGCGTCGCCGGCTTCGTTGTGAGCTGAGGGTTGGTGACTCTGGCGGTATGATGTGATCGTACAATGCCGTGCCAGTGAAGTTTCCGTGGATTTAGTGCCCACCACGCCGTTCCGAACCGCTCGTGTCCCATTCGTTGTAAGCTCTATTAGTGACAACAAATCAATTTGATTGTGAGAGTCGCCTATTTCTGTCGATTTCGCAGAACCAGAAAGAAAGCAGTACTGCTAGTTTTTTTCGCAAAATTCACAACCGAAAAGTATGTATTTCACATTAATTCTCTCCAAATTTTCAGCACATTAATTTGTGGGACCAGGGCATCGGCATTGTAGAATGCAACAAATCGAGGGCCAAATCGTCAGTGCCAGCCATAGTGTTGGGCCACTCCAAAATGGCCTCAAATGTAGAAGACTTGCAACATTGTAGTCAGTAGGTTAGCTCAGCCGATTGATCGACCATATGGATACAATTCACAAATTCATGTTTCCATGCCCTTGGGAAAGTGGAAATGGGCGTCATTGGCTTGCCTTGCTGCCTTCAGTGCTGCTAGGATGTCCATCCTGGCGCCAGAAGCCGCTGCCAAGGCAGCAGTACCGCTTGTGGTCTCTGCTCTGGGATTCTCTAAGGCCGGAGTGCAGAAAGGTCCACTGCGGCCCGCAGGCACAAGGCATTGGGCAACGTGAGTGCCAGCAGCCCCTTTGCTAGGATGCAAGGTGAAGGAATGAAAACATCGGATGAACGCGGTGGGTGGTGCATGGAGGTCGTGCCAGAGCGCCGATGACGAGAGAACCACCTTGTTGACTTTTTTACAGGGCTTGTGCAGTGCTATGATTGTAACTTGACCGCCAACACATGAAGTGTTGTTTTCTTGTAGACAGGCAACATACATACGCTTCGCCAGTGGAATGGAAGTACATGGACATTGCGTTGCCTTTGGTAAACTAATGTAATAGGGCAAGCAATAGGTTAACGCGATGCAGTATGATAATGCACAATGCGAACATGCAGGTACTGATGAATTGGTACAAGATGTGTGGCTGATGTTAGGTAGTTGGAGAAAATGTGTATACTATAAATTGTGCTCAACATTGCCTACGACCGGTCGTACCCTGGTGACAGGGTACAGGGTACAGGGTACCCTGGTGACGTTTCATCCATGATATTAATCATTTTGCCCCTTGATTGCCAGTTCACGTGCAGTGGCTTTCATTTCGACCCAATTTTAGTGATCGCAGAAGGTTTGTCAGCAAATGCGAAATTCGCCATGTCGATTCAGCTGTTGACATCAGGTTGTGGATAATTGAGCGTTGTCAGTGCAATATTCAAGTGGGCTGCTCGCGATGGCCTCACGCGTGCTAGGGGTCGACATGAGCACCAAAGTGAAGAAAGTCATGCACAGGTTGAACCGCAGGGTGGGTTTGACAAGTGTCAAGCTGCTCGCACTTCTCTTGCACAATTGACTGATAACATCGCTGTGTGCATCGCGGTGTGCCAAGAGTCTAAATTTGAGACTATTTTAATGAGCCTGGAACACATATTTGCTGTTTGCATTCCCTTAAGCACGATCTGATCACTACGAAGAATACCGCATTTAGAAATGGACCACCACTTCGCCTCCGCGAGAAAAGGCACAAAACAAAGCACTTCCTTGGTTTCTTCCCAACCCTCTTGTCAATCACATGCCATTATTAGATCAAATAGCATAACAGAGTGCAGAGGTTGAACCTAGCCCAAATTGTTGTTCGACCCTAAAAACAACACCTAAAAGCTAAAAGACCTGAAAAATTAATACGTGCAAACAGAATGCTCAGACAATCTTCATGACCTTCATCTCCTGAAATGAAGAGTAACACACGTTTCTCCTCCAAACTGCTAGACTAGGTTGAACCTCAGTTTGGACTAGATTCAGCCTCAATTTGAACTAAGTTTTTCTTCAATGAGCGTTTACTGGGTTGAACCTTATTTTGGACTAGGTCTCCCCTATGTTCCAATAATACATTAAGATCGTAAACGTGATCCAATATTCTTTAAAGATCATCCACACTCCACAAATTTGTGGAGTGACGCCAAAGAGTGCATGTGCGGCAAGTGTTTCAAATGAATGTAACGCCTTGCTGCCCGAGGCGGCAGCTCTCAAGCATCCGACAAAACCACGCGTCGTCACCCCACTGGCACTTAATTGTATTTATACGGTCAGCTACCCCTTCTGATAACCTTCTGGCAAGTAAATCCAATAGAAAACCAATACATAAGGTAAAAAACTACATAAAGATAAGCTGACTGGAACAGTACTGTTTTCTGCAGGGTCAGCCCCTGTTAACACGGCGTGAAGCCGCTGAGAATTGTGCATGCGCAGTATGTTCTACTTTTACTGTGACACAGCAACGTAAGTACTGCACTAAAGTAAACAATGTAAGCAACCCAGGAGAGTAAACCTGTAAAGAAAAGCAAAGTTCTGTGCTACAGTTCTTGCACATGCAATCAATAGCGCCATGCGGATTTTTATTACTGTGTAGGCATGTACTGTGGCTGTGTTCACCCTGGACTGTGCCGAATGACGTCGGCGGTCCTTTGTTGTGCTTTCCGTTTGCCAGTGACCGCTGTCGCCCTTCGCCCCGGCTCAATACCTCACCAGTCGCCCCCGCTGCAACCGCGGCCCACGTGCCCCAAGTTCAGAGAAGACTTCACTTCAGCATTCGAGAAAGTTCTCCAGGGAGGCGAACTAGGGTGCGAAGTGCGCCCTTTCTGCTTAATGATAAATCAGATGAATTGGTGGTTTGTTTTTATTGCGAGCTGCAATGCCCGGTGAGCCGCTACTAGAGTTTGCAACTCCCAACGGCAATCGCCAAAGAAATTGCACTGCTGTGATTGATGGAGATGCGTTGATCAATGCTACACCCCATGTCCACTGCACAACGATATATCGATGCGCATACATATATGGATATCGAACACTCCCCTTCCAGGGATTTGTGACACAGGCGCTTTTGCAATCCACTGCGTCACCATAAATTGCAGCCAAGAGCGAGAGCGAGCCTGATGACCATGCCCTTCAGAGCACGTCTTTTAGCACGCTTGGCGCTTTTCGCAAGCACCACACCGACCTTGCGTCTGAACAGCGCGGATAGTTTGTTAGACGGCTCTGTTTCCTTGCCTTGAAGCTGCACACCCAGCAGCAGCGACAAGAACCCGTTTCTGCAGCCACGCCAGCAATTCGTG